ATCCTAAAACAATGGGGAAAATGTAAATAAACATTATAAGGTAGTCTACAAAACACATAGATAGCGGAGTTAAAAGGTGTACGAAATCACGAAGGGCAATACTGTAAGGATAAACACCCCACTCAGAAAATATTAACATCAGTGTTATGAAATTAATACGTCAATTAATGTATGATGTCTAAAAATGCATAAATCTAGATATCCCTTTAAATTACCACTTCCAACTTCCCAAACTCAAAACTCTGTTCGGCCAACTATGGAAAAGTAATTAAAAGAGACAACTAGAGCATTTGCATTATTCACGTATCTGGAAACGTGCACGGATCGACGTATACGTATCGGGCAGATTTGTATAAAATAATGATTTAGCCCCGACCTCAATTAAAACTAAATTAAAATTAAATGTATTATAAAATATCTTCATCGGGACCAACTTGACTTAATTTATCATTTCCTCATATACGTGTTATACGATACGTCGATACGGATACGCCAGCAAATACGTGAATAATGCAAATGCTCTACTAGTACTAGTATTTACCTTTGAGGGGAGGGGGCGTCGTTCAGAAATTTCTTTTAGTGGCACGTAAGCATCACATTTTTTTGTCGCGCGAATCAAAAATAATGGGAATATTTAAAAAAAAAAGGGGGGGGGGCATTAAAACTGAACGTTTTGGATACGTTTTTCTGTATCCATTACACCCTGCGAGGGAGGGGCATTACAACTGAACGTTTTGGATACGTTTTTCTGAATCGAGTACACCCCTAATTCTTAAATATGATCTATGAGGCTCTGAATGTTAATTGTGTCTGCACGTTTGTTTTGATCAATTTATATTAAAGAAGTTATAACACGAGTTTATAATCGTAAAAATACTTTAATAGCGATATATACTTCTATTATGTTTTTTCCTTAAGAAAAGATCCTTGATTTATGGCAATGTTTGACAAAAGATAGTAACTATCCTCATGCGCCCATTTTACACGTCTCCGCGTACGTATCAGAAGCAGTCAGAACGAGTGCACCTTACAGACATAGACAACTTGATAACATGTCGAATAAAGATATGCGTATGTATTTTATGTATTTACTGTAATTTATTTACGATTTTAGATGTATTATACTTGACAATATAAATGTAAATAGTACATACCATAATTGATGCTAAATACAGTTTCCAGTTAAGAAAAGGTGTGTTAGATTTGATCGATACTCTCAGCCCGAAGCAGTTGAGCAACCCCCAGCCACTTTTTCGGAAACTTGTATTTGATTTTTTTTTCATTTTGTACAATACGATAAAAAAAACTCTTCTGTCTCTAGCGTCTCTCATTATCGAGGACCTAAAAATGACTCCACAAATTAATCATAAGTTATTAATCATATTACTTTAAAGGGGGTGGGTTGCATTTTTCTAACAAACCCTGATCCTCGAAATCGACACAATGGACGGGTGCAGGATTTGCTGTTAAGGGGGGGGCGGGGCTATGGAAAATATAGGATAAAACTTTTTTAACAGGTATCCCCTGTATCACTTCTTGTAAACAGGCAGCCATTCTTGCCTTTGTCAGAAGACAGCTCTACTCATCTGAGACTCAACGCTAATCGTATCATTCCAGTATCCTCGCAGGTTTCTGTCCAAACTGATTCTAGAATCTGTAAAACTACATGTACCATTATCAGACCGTTGACAACCATTACTATGCCAACCGCTTCGTCTTTTGTGTCTCTGAACAGGTTCGTAGATATTCCGTGCCAGCACCAACACCTAATTCGCCTAGAATACAATTTTCTTCTTCACATCTTAACTCGGGGAGCAACTCACCATATACTGCGGGCCAAATGTCTCAACCAGTGTAACCACACGTCCACTACTAGAAACCAGCCGTCTTTCAACCAATCGTTCATCTCACACAGCCAGCCGCTAATTTCTCGTGTCCAGTCATGTTCATCTGATTATCAGCCATCAACTTCTCAGAACACTTCTGGCATCCAGTCGTCCACCTCTCGAAATCACCAGTCTGGTCCTTGTATGCAGCCGTCCACATCGTGCAATATGCCATCAACCTCACGAAACCAGCCGTCCACATCTCGCAACCTGCCGTCAACATCTATTAACCTGCCGTCCACATCTCAACACCCACCATCCACATCTCACAACCCGACGTCAACTTCTCGCAAGCAGTCCTCCGCCTCTCTAAATTAGCCCTCCACATCTCGCATCAGGACACCCGTTTCTAAAAAGCAGCCGTCTTCTTCGAGTAACAACCAACAACCAGCGTCTCGCAGAATCCCAGCCCCAAGACAAAATATTAATGAGAGAGTTCGCCGTCATTTAAGGGATCTAGGTGGAGATGCTCAGCCAGATCAGCAACATCAGGAATCTTCGGACGATGATGTGCGTCTTGGAATGGCAAGACGCGTGGCCAGAAATATTGAAAGGTCCCGAAAGATTTCAACTAGACAATTAATGCGGAAAAATGAAATTTTGAGGCACAAAATGTTAAAATACTTTTATAAACATCGACATGATATCTTTGGAGTAATTTCATCAGGCTCTTCCGATTCTGAGTCTATGGAATAATGTAGTACAATTATTATACATTGGTATTAAATATAACAAAATATACATGAAATATTTGTTCTATCAATTGGTAAGGGAACGAACATTTAACAGGTGATTGGGGTTTGTCTTCTTTCATTTGTTTAAAAAATATACAGAATACAGAATAAAGGATGCTGACAGGGGCGGATTTTACGGGCGTGCGCCCCCTTTAAAACACTAATTTATTTTTAGCATTTTAAACTGCAAACATTAAAGAATTGGGTAAAAGTATACTGAATACAGAAAAAAAAATGTGTAGAATACACAAATGATGTAATTACAGAATAGCCATTATTTTTAAAGATAAAGAATACAGAAATGAAGCCCGCCCCCATCCCCCAATCCATACCCTTGTGTAGTAATAACTTCAATAAGCTGAAATTTTGGGGAAAAAACGTACAAGAAAGGATTTAGATATAAAATGTGGTCGTAAAGCAACAAATATAACTGAAATGTGTAGCAATCAGTGGCGGATCCAGAATTTTTTAAAAAGGGGTGGGGGCGCTTAATTTTTCGGTTCTATAAGCAGTTTGATAAGGCCCCCCCCTCCTAAACCCGCCTCTGGCAATAAACACATTATTATTGATAAATTATGTTCTTGTCTATTTTCGTAGGCAAGGTGTGTTCGATTTGATCGTTGATATTTGTATAGGAAAAAGATACACTTATCACAGTTCTTCAATACGAAGCGTGTATGTTTCTGGTCTTGAAAAAAATGAATATTTAGTGTTTTGAATATATATATCATCAACATTTGGTGCATATTTTACCTCTGTTTAGTTTTAATTGAGGTCGGGGCTAAATCATTATTTTATACAAATCTGCCCGATACGTTTACGTCGATCCGTGCACGTATCCAGATACGTGAATAATGCAAATGCTCTAATATTATTAACTTTTGTAATATAACATATGAAAACAAATGGAATTAATTATTTCTATTTATACGCGTATGGTTCAAATACTCATATGCACGGTCCTGAACATAAACACAATATTCTTTGGATGGTTCAGATAAATTGCGTTTTTGACTGGTCCTTTCAGTTCAGATGACAGTTATAACTTTTCGACTCTAAATGATATGTATCTTATTTAATTAAAAGGTCCCTTAAAAAATCTGATTGAAAATTTATTTGGTGCAACTCATATACTAATATAAAAATTAGGAGATGTGGTATGATTGCCAATGAGACAACTTTCCACCAAAGTTCAAATGAAGTGGAAGTATTTATAGGCAACCGAAGGCCTTCAACAATGAGAAAAATCCATACAGTATAGTCGGCTATAAAAAATATATATAAGAAGATGTGGTATGAGTGCCAATGAGACAACTCTCCATATAAAAGCCCAGACATGAAAAATATGAAATAATTCAATTGAGTAAAAACTAACGGCCTAATTTATAACAAAACAATTTACGAAAAACAAATATGACAGACATGTACCAACGGCTACCACTGAACTACAGGGACATATAGAATGTGGCGGGGTTAAACTAGTTTGCTGCATGACGCCAAACCCTCCCCAAACCTTGGACACTAGTGTAACAGTACAACATGAGAACAAACTACAAAAATCAGTTGAAAAGGGATTAACTTATCAGAACGATACAAAGCAGAAAATACCAAACGAATATACAGACTGGAAGTGGCAGCGTATCTATACACCCCACAACAAAAAAGACATTAAGTAAAGATCTGAGAGTACTCGTTGTTACTGACAGCTAGTTCAAAGCCATTAATCACTAGCAGTAATCAATCAGTACACATTCAACATCCAATTGATTTAGTCCGTGACGGTAATGACGTCATTAACAGTCAGAGAAAAAACACTACCTTGTGCAATGTCAACATATAGGTATCGACAGATTGTAGTACCGTGAGTGTGTATAACAATAATATTTAGTATGGTTTTAATTAACTGATAACAAATCAATACTTATACCCATTAAAACAATATTCAAAGATCTAAAAGCTAAGCCTTCTGCAACTTGCAAAAGGCAACTGTGCCAGATATACATACTAGAACTATTGATAAATTATGAGTACGGTTTCTCATTTTCAACTAAATTAAGTGTTTTTTTTTTCTCGTTGTAGAGCTTTTTTTTTAAATGATTAAAGTTTATAATGTCCCCTTTAAGTCCCATTTTTGGGGGGAACCAATAAATAAATGTATCATCACCAGAGTCCTGTATGTTTTTTTTCAATATATTTTCTGAAATATTTGTTTATCTTACCACTCCATCAAAACAAATCGAGCAAGCGGACACAAAACAGAAAAACACAATTTTATTTCTTTGTCGAATAGATTGAAGTGTTTCAAATTTCGGATTTTTCGCATCCGAACCGTGAATGAACGATTGTTATATTTTTTTAAATAAACAAAAAGTCAAACACACCCAGTAACACCAAACAAATATGGCTTCTTCAGAATCATCTGACAGTCGAACAAATAGTTTAAATACAACAAGTAGCCATAATGATGATGCATTGACCCACAATGAATTAAAAGGATGGTTACTTAAACGATCAAAAATATCCCGAAAGTGGAGGAAACAATGGTTTCTTCTGAAAAACACAGATTTGTTATATGGTGACACACCCGAGGTAAATGACATTTTGCAATATCCAAATTAGAAAATGTTCTATTCTTACATTAGATAATGATTTCAAATATAAAATACTGAAATAAATAGCCATGGCACTCGACTTAGACAATTGTATTGCATCTGAAACAACCGAAACTGTCTCATTGGCAAGCATTATCTCCTTATTTTTTTATTTTATTTAATAAGTGTCGAGTTTCAAAACAATATCCCTGTACAACGATTTCTCTGGTAACATATAATTATTATGTCCGCCATATTGTCATTCAAGGAACTTGCTTACAAAACACACAAATCACATTCCTGAAATTAAATTGTACTTTTTTTATTAAGACCAAATGACAAATATCTCAACTTTATAGTCTTAATTTTCAAAAGAAGCAGTATTACACCATACAAAAATTTAGTTTTTGAAGTAATATCTATTGGTTCTTGGGTTTCAAATTGCGTTTTTGGGAGTTCTCGGGAAATCGTTGTACCCATAATATCCAATGTGACCTTCAACTGGATATATGAATGTGATAAACATTGTCTAGTAAAAGTACATTTAATATAAGAGGAGTAAAAAATTTTAAAGGACGGTTAAAAAATAATTATCATACATATACAGTTACAAATAACAGAAGCTCCAATAGCAATAAAAACCGACAAAAAGGACACATATAAATGAAACAATACAATACTTAAAACAAGTAGTGTTTCCTACAGGAGGTTTTGGTGTGGTATGGTGCCCTGCCGTTTTTTGTTGACGCCATGTTCTTTTTTGTCTAGCCTGCGAAATCTATATCGGGGAAGTGAGACATAGCGATCTTAGATTCCATCGGCGGCGTCAACATTTAGGTTAAGTCTGTGGTTAAAGTTTTTTTAGACATTTTTTTAAGCAACATGTGCAAATACGATTCATGATTGAATCTAATAGGGACAACATCAACTTTGTAAATCTATGAATTTAAAATGTAAAAAACTTAAAAGGGAACCAGGCAATTGTTTGACCTATAATTATACGATGCATAGAATGAACATTGCATATACAATCAGCTGTTTGTTTATATTTTCATTTTAAGTTTGACAACTTTAAATATTCTGCCTTTCTAGAGGATGGATTGGGTGTGAATATACTTTGTCTTTCTTTCTGTTGTTATCTAAATAAAGTAAAATTAAAGTTAAGAGAATAGCTGATATAGTTTTGATTAGCATGTTCCAATAGACAAAAAAATACAGAATTAAATGGAAAAGATGAACAGCCTAAAAAGTTTTGTATAGTTAAGAGCCAAGGTAATTGTAGCTTTGATTGGTATAAACATGTCAGATCCAAAAGGTATTTGGCACTAATTCTTTTGTGTAGCTAAAAAGCAATGCCTATGCTCCTTGTCAATGTCATGCAAGTTTTGACACTTTCACAAACACATCCTTAGACAATCAGGCTCTGGGATCCAGTATTAAATTGTAAAACTGGAGTTATTGATTTAAATGAGGCAGTTGCAATGTAGCTGAGGCTAGAAGTGATAATTTTATTGCAAAAAGGAATTGAATTAATAACTTAATAATTTAATTTTGGATGTAACACGTCTTCTGATTGGCTGACGACGTTTTGTTTATCAGCTCATAGACATAATTTTGTCATGTGACCGTGACGTCATCAACGTTTGTTATGATTTACTCTGGTTTAAAATGGAATTAAGAATTAAATTATAAGAAATGACTGTTATATTTTTTCTGCCTATTCGAAATAACATAAAAAATGTGGTGCACACTTTAAATAACCCGCTACACGGGTTATTCAGTGTGCACCACATTTTTGATGTTATTTCTTCATAGATAGAAAAAATATTACAGTCATTCCTTAAATATACATATATCTTTAATTCTAACGCAAAGGGTGTCCTTGAAGTGAAGCCAATCAGGCTAAGAGTGCCCTCTAACAAAAAAATTACCCAGCCCTTTTCAAAAGCTGCAGGAAACACTAACATGGCAGTTAAAAAGATGCATTTGTACATGTACATGTATGCACCCTAGAAGAATGATTCTGCTAGGACACTCCATTTCATGAACATCTGCGTACACAGCTTTTCATCAGATATACAACTATTTAGAAACCTCTGAACCGAATTTGAAAATTTTCACATGCTTGCATCTTTGCGAAAGTATTAAATTGAGAATGGAAATGGGGAATGTGTCAAAGAGACAAAAACCCGACCATAGAGCAGACAACAGCCGAAGGCCACCAATGGGTCTTCAATGCAGCGAGAAACTCCCGCACCCGGAGGCGTCCTTCAGCTGGCCCCTAAACAAATATTTATACTAGTTCAGTGATAATGGACGTCATACTAAACTCCAAATTAAACACAGGAAACTAAAATTAGAAATGATACAAGACTAACAAAGGCCAGAGGCTCCTGACTTGGGACAGACGCAAAAATGCGGCGGGGTTAAACATGTTTTTTGAGATCTCAACCCTCCCCCTATACCTCTAGCTAATGTAGAAAAAACAAACGCACAACGGTACGCACAGTAAAACTCAGTATAAGAGAAGTCCGAGTCCGATGTCAGAATAGGAAACAAAAGAAAATAAACAAAATGACAATAATACATAAATAACAACAGACTACTAGCAGTTACTGTCATGCCAGCTCCAGACCTCAATTAAACTGATTGAAAGATTATGTCTTCATCATATGAATATCAGGCACAATCCCTCCTGTTAGGGGTTTAATATTATACCGTCATTAAATATATGAGAAGAACATAACCCGTGTCATGCCAATAACTGGTTTTAGAATAAATGTGTTTAATTCCGATGCAAAGACCCTATAAGTGAATCAATATTAAAGCCAAAATATGCAATCTTTAATGACCTGACAACAGTATCGTAACTATATACCTTATGTTTGCCGTAGAAAAAAAACTAAAAAATTTTAATAACTAGAATTAACCTTATTACCTGTATATCGATTTTCCTTCTGTAATGACTTGTAATGGATCAACAATTCATGACGAGAAATCCTTTATTTGGTTGCAATAGTAATAATGGACTTCTAGTATTGTGAAAAATCTGCAACAGTAGTGTCAAACATGTATGTGTAAATACAATTTTAATTTTTAAATATTTTTTTATTTGTAGAATGCATCAAAAAGAATAGCACTGAATGATGCTGAAATTTCTGAATCTAATATAGATAAGAAAGATCATACATTCAGGATAAAATCGAAAGACAGTAACAGGACATTTTATATGCAAGCTGATAGTGAGAATACACAGCATGAATGGATGCAGGCCATTTGCTTTGCTAAGGCTGCTGGCAGGGATGGAGACAACTCTCAAGCCTGTGTTATTCAATAGAAGACTGTCAGTTGAGGATATCAATTTACAGTCATATTTTATAATGATATTATTACCAAAATGTTCTTACATTGTATATAAGCAGACACAAAAGAAAAATTCACAGAAGAAGATTAAAGAAAGGGATTTGGAATGCATTTTCATATGTTTGCATATAAATACATATGCATTCAAGTACTTGTGTACTCATTTTTCATTTGTATATAAATGAATCCTTGGTTTCTGGTTTAAATTTCATTCTTGAATTTATACTGAACAAGATGTATTGTTGGTATCTTTATAAAACATTCTGCTTTTCCCCCTTTAATTTGTGTTGAGAATTCTGTTATATTTTTTTATTACTCAAAGTTTTTCTTAAAACATAGACATCTTTGATTTTTTTAAATGAATGAAGTTTAACAAATTGAGAACCTAGGGATTTATTTATGTATTCCTATGTATACAATGTATATATAATTTATAAGTTAGATTTCTTTAACATTCCGTTGAGATGATCATACCTGTTCTTACACATTTCCTTTTGTTTTAATGCTGATGCTATGCTTAGATATGCATGTATATCATACTTGTCCTGTCTAGTAATAGAAACAAACAGTTAAATAGGCAAGTCATGTTTTTTATTCCTGCTGATTTTTATTATGTACCAGTAAAGTATTGTTATACTCCATTATCATTTATCCCTTCTTTTATTGTCTCCTATAAAGTCAGGATTTCATAACTTTCTTTTGTCACTGGTGAATCATTTCATGGATGTCAAATATTATTTATATAGTAAACATTGGTGTAGCTTGAAATTGATTGTTTTTCTGTATTGCAAAAGCTCTTGTGTCAGGGACATGTTATAGACATGCACAAAGCTGTTTTTGTCATGAGAATTGTTAGTCATGTGCAACCAATATGCATCACAAATGTTAGTACTCAATATATGACCTACTAGAACTAGTTACAAATATAAATGAAATTTGCAGTTATCAATTCTGTGTTGAGTTTGTCACTATTCACTTAAAGGCAAGTATTTCCTAGAGAGAAATGGACAAATGTTTCACAATTTAAAAAAAAAAAGTATTTTCTGTTTTACACTTTTTTAGCTAATTTTCTATATTTAAAGAGTTTCTGCTCACATCAAAGCTTCTCTACAATAATAATTGTACTATCAGTTTATATGTCAGTTGATAGTTTTGTAGATTCATTGTAGGTTTTTGTATTATATAGTTTTAATTTACTTGATTAAATGTGACTTTTATGTTATATATTTCTGCAGCAAACAGTACCTTTTGCATTTTTGATCTGTTAACATTTTGAAATTTATATTTGCAATTGTGTTTGTATGCTACAAGCTATGACATTAGAAGGCCACTTTCAGTTTTTTGTTATTAAAAGTGCCTTCAGACCTGCATGTGCCATAAGCACAAAAATGTATTTATACATGTACATGTATATCTACAAATGCTGCTTGCTAAAGAATTCTGTAAAAAAAATATGACACCATCTAAATGTAATAGGAAGTATCAGCCACTAATTTAAAAGATTCGTTTACAAGTGTTTTCTTTATAAAAATAAATACAGTATTTAAAAACTTTGGAGAAACACACAACTTAAAAGTTTCCTCTATAAGTAGATTTGGATGATATATTATATGAATTAGTAAGTTCAAAATTCATCAAGATATGAATTACTAAGTTCAAGATTCATCAAGATATAAACTACTAAGTTCAAGATTCATCAAGATATAAATTACTAAGTTCAAGATTCATCAATATGTCTTACTAAGATGCATTTACGTTAATATCTAGAAAATATATCTATTCTTAAATCAGCGGTAGCTGTAAGATAATCTGCCTCTTTCATCAATTTTCTGATATGGTGTGTATTTATATGTATTTTTCTTATTTACAGTAAAAATAGTGTACATTGCATAGAAAGTTAAAATGGTTAAAGTCTAAAGAAATTCCTTTATGCAAAATATTAAATATAAGTTAAACAATTTGAGATATAATTTATAAATTTGCAAAAAGTACATGACATTTTTTCAAAGAAAAATAATTTTATTTTGTACTTGATAGATACAGAATTAATTCCAATAGATGATTAGATAGATGCATTCTTAAATTCAACTATGACAAAATTATCTGTTCCATTTGTTTACAGAACATTCTCCTTATTGATTGTTATAAATTTTTTGTTAATTATTAATTGATTATTAAGTTTCAATAGATTTAGTACTTGTTGATTATGTAAATTTGAGTGCTAAATTATGTTTATATGTACTTTTGTATTGTAATTAATTATCTTATTTAACTACTTGTACATTACATGCTTGCCACAGAAACAGAAAACATTTGAAAGAAAACTATGGTAATGATAAATTTTGTTATATTGACCACTGGAAGGAAAATAATATATTCAAAGGTTGTATATAGACATATTTCTCAAATTTAATTTTCTCAATTTTAAAAAGAATTTTGTGACACACTGTTATCCTTTATATAAATCTTGTGTGATTTAGTACCTTCAATTCTGGTTGGCAAGATTTTAATCTCTCTTCTGGTATTGTTGTTGGGTTAACTATTGTATAACTTTTATATAAGTATAGTTTAAGTTCATGTCTAAGTAATTGAAGGCATCACACAACAATCTATTTTTTATACGACCGCAAAAAAATTTTGTGGTCGTATATTGGTATGACGTTGGCGTCGTCGTCGTCGTCCAGCGTCGTCGTCCGAAGACACATTGGTTTTCGCACTCTTACTTTAGTTTAAGTAAATGGATCTTTTTGAAATTTGACCATAAGGTTAAATACCACAAAAGGAAGGTTGGGATTGATTTTGGGGGTTATGGTACCAACAGTTAAGGAATTAGGGGCCAAAAAGGGGCCAAAAATAAGCATTTTCTAGTTTCCAGACAATAACTGTGGAACGGTGTATGGATCTCTCTGAAATTATACTACAAGTTTCCATACCACAAAGGGATGGTTAGGATTTGCTTTGGGGGGTTATGGCTCAAACCGTTTAGGAATTAGGGGCAAAAAAGGGGGAAAAACAAGGTTGTCCTGGTTAATGGACAAATACTTTAGTACAAAACATAATTTAAAGCAGTGTAAGGGAGATAAATCAAATACATCATTAAAATTATCTCCCTTACACTGCTTTTAAATTATGTATAAAGTAATGGTTAATGAACAATAAAGATAATTTAAAACAGTGTAAGGGAGGTAATCCAAATACAACGTTTTGGTTACTTCCCTTACACTGCTTTTAAATTATGTTTAAAGAAAAGCATATTTATAAAGGAAGACCAGTAAAAATATCTGCAAATGTTGCATCTTTTTTTTTACAAAAAAAATCCATATGAAAGATTTGACACTATATTTTTAATTCTATTATAAAATAGATTAAGTTAGCACTATGGTAAATTTAAATGGGTAATTATGGTTGCCAACTCCATTGGAAATTTGAATTGAGATTATGACCATATCTTGAGGGAAAGAATTTTTTGGGGGAAAAAAGGGGAGGGGGGTAAAAAGAAATTGTGGGGGGTCAATTTTTTCTCATTTCAGATTTCAGAAATTAAAAAAATTATTCTTCAAATATTTTTTTTTTTCAAATTTCAAATATTGAAAAATTTCAAGAAGAAATCTTTAATTGCACAGTATGGCGCATTAGATTTGTAAAATCTTTGATCACATTTATTTATTTGTTATGCCGAATCCAACAGTGTATTTAGATTTTTAATTTTGGGTCCAGTTTTCAAATTGGTCTACATTAAGGTCCAAAGGGTCCAAAATTAAACTTTGTTTGATTTTAGCAAAAATTGAATATATGAGGTTCTTTGATATGCTGAATCTAAACATGTATTTAGATTTTTGATTTTTGGCTCAGTTTTCAAGTTGGTCCAAATTGGGGTCCAAAATTAAACTTTGTTTGATTTCAACAAAAATTGAATATATGGGGTTCCTTGATATGCTGAATCTAACCATGTATTTAGATTTTTTAATTGTGGACCCCGTTATCAAATTGGTTCATATTGAGGTCAAAAGGGTCCAAAATTAAACTTTGTTTGATTTCATCTAAAATTGAATTATTGGGGTTCTTTGATATTCCAAATCTAACCGTGTATTTTGATTTTTAATTTTGGGTCCCGTTTTTTAAATTGGTCTACATTAAGGTCCAAAGGGTCCAAAATTAAACTTAGTTTGATTTTAACAAAAAATGAATTCTTGGGGTTCTTTGATATGCTGAATCTAAACATGTGTTTAGATTTTTGATTATGGGCCCAGTTTTCAAGTTGGTCCAAGATAGGGTCCAGTATTTAAACTTTGTTTGATTTCAACAAAAATTGAATATATGGGGTTCTTTGATATGCTGAATCTAAACATGTATTTAGATTTTTGATTATGGGCCCAGTTTTCAAATTGGTCCAAATTGGGGTCCAAAATTTAACTTTGTTTGATTTCAACAAAAATTGAATATATGAGGTTCTTTGATATGCTGAATCTAACCATGTATTTAGATTTTTAATTTGTAGGCCCTGCTATCAAATTGGTTCATATTGAGGTCAAAAGGGTCCAAAATTAAACTTTGTTTGATTTCATCAAAAATTGAATTATTGGGGTTCTTTGATATGCCAAATCTAACCGTGTTTTTAGATTTTTAATTTGGGTCCCGTTTTTTAAATTGGTCTTCATTGAGGTCCAAAGGGCCCAAAATTAAACTTAGTTTGATTTTAACAAAAATTGAATTCTTGGTGTTCTTTGATATGCTGAATCTAAACATGTGTTTAGATTTTTGATTATGGGCCCAGTTTTCAAGTTGGTCTAAGTTGGGGTCCAAAATTAAACTTTTTTTGATTTCAACAAAAATTGAATATATGGGGTTCTTTGATATGCTGAATCTAACCATGAATTTAGATTTTTTATTTGTGGGCCCTGCTATCAAATTGGTTCATATTGAGGTCAAAAGGGTCCAAAATTAAACTTTGTTTGATTTCATCAAAAATTGAATTATTGGGGTTCTTTGATATGCCAAATCTAACCGTGTATTTAGATTTTTAATTTTAAGTCCCGTTTTTTAAATTGGTCTACATTAAGGTCCAAAGGGTCCAAAATTAAACTTAGTTTGATTTTAGCAAAAATTGAATTCTTGGGGTTATTTGATATGCTGAATCTAAACATGTGTTTAGATTTTTGATTATGGGGCCAGTTTTCAATTTTGTCCAAGTTGGGGTCCAAAATTAAACTTTGTTTGATTTTAACAAAAATTGAATATATGGGGTTCTTTGTAAGCTGAATCTAACCATGTATTTTGATTTTGGACATTGGACCATAATAGGTAAATTAAAAAAATTCAAGTTCTTAGACCACATTCTTTCTGTGTCAGAAACCTCTGCTGTGTCAAATATTTAATAACAATCCAAATTCAGAGCTGTATCAAGCTTGAATGTTGTGTCCATACTTGCCCCAACTGTTCAGGGTTCGACCTCTGCAGTCGTATCAAGCTGCGCCCCAGCGAAGCATTTTATTTGGCCTTCTGAAAATATCCATTCAAATAATAAAAAAGAAGAAGCCATTTCACTTGGGGTTTTTGAAATTGGTGTCATTTACAAATGTATATAAAATCCTCCAAGTGACACAAGTAATTCCAAAGTATGTAGAAATTAAATAATAGTTTAAAAAAATATTTTGAGTTAGCTCATATGCTTGAGTTCAGAATAGATTGATATAAACAAAAAGTTGACAGAAATGAAAATTATTTGTTATGGTGCAAACAGGCAAGGCACATCTCTCTGTTTCAACAACTTACAATAAATGTGTTAAATGCTACAACATTGAATACTGTGGAGTCATTTTATTTTTGGTGGGTACCAATTTTCATGGATTGAGGGAAAATGGAATTTGTGTAAATTATTTGATTTCATGGTTTTTGGCAAAGTCTGCATACAAACCTATTAAAATATGTACTTCTTAAAAGATTTAAATTCGTGGTACACCTTTAGGCTCAAAATCCAAGAAAACTGGTTCTCCACAAGTGATAATGAATCCACAGTATCAGAAATCAAGGGGTTCTTTTAATAAAACAGAATAATAGTTGTATCCTGCTTATTGTACTGTATTTGCCAGCTTTACACCCAAATGTTATAGTTTTGAAAATCTTATTCTTAAATGTCTATCAATCTGTCATTATTATGATAAATTGAAACTTTCATTATGCTGGTAGCTTTTTTATGCACAAATACCAGCAAATGAATATTTAAGATAAAGTTAAAACATGTTATTGGTATATATTTTTGTCACTCTCAACATATTGGAGGGAACAATTTTTTTTTCATCAAATATTAATTTAACTCAATTCACTTTTTGATGAAAAATTATTTGATTTGTTTTGAAAATATATATTTGCTGAAAATATTATTGACAGTTACAAAGAAGGGTGAGCATCAGAATTTGCTAAACATTTCTAGTTTGTAATGAGTATCAAAAGGAGCTATGTTCACTAATGTATAGTTATATATATCTGTTTATTTAATATTGTATATCAAAGACTCTCTAGATGTAGTTAATTTGTATATGTACAGTGTACAAAGGAAGCAAAAAGTAATCAGTTAGGCAGCTTTATTGTACCGGTGGGGAAAATGTTATAATATTATTTTTGAAAAGGTCCCTAAGAACTTTTAACTTTGTAATCCCTCTCTCTTAAGAGCACATTTAAGGTATCAAATCTTTTAACAAATTTTGTGGCAATATTAAATATATATACTGGGTAATGTTAATATTCTTCAAATGATTTGAAGGAGCATAAAATGCCTCTTATTTTAACTAATTAGGTTTTCTCTCCTCTAAAAGACATCTTTTAATTAATTCTTTTCCTTAAGTTTATTTGAAAAAAAAGATAAAACAACTTTTGAATGTATTGTTTCAAGTTTCTGAGCAGTGTTTTGGTCCAAAAACATAAAACTTAATTTGCTCAAAGCATTTCCAACTTTGGTGGTACCTGTAGATCGCGTTGAAAATGCGTTTTGAGTTAGCTAATGAATGAAATATGTGCTAGGTGAGGGATTGATACAGACTTTTGGTTATTCCAGGAATGAAAACACTTTCTAAGTATTTTCTGAGAAGTAAACAACATAAATGCTATAAAACACCTAAAAAGACAGTATAGCAATGTTTTGAAAATTAATTTGTTGAAATTGTACAGGAATGTAGAAATATCCTTTCATTTAATATGTGTCAAAGAACAATAGATTTATGATACATGTATATCATTACCTAGGTTGTTAAACTTTTTTTCCCTGGTATTTTAATAATTTGTGGTTCCAAATGACTTTTAATTTATCTTATTTTTTATCATTTATAGAATCTTAAAAGTAGATTATGTTATATTAACATATTGAACTACAGTAATATCCAAAGGCTATAATGCTTTTTTAATTGCAAAATACTTTAGATATGTTTTGCAAGATCTTTTTATCTCCCTTTTTGTAATGCATTTATAATGAGGATAACAACAATGTTTGTTATGTCATCAAAAGGATAAATAATTAATTTCTGAGTATTTCCATATGTATATGAGGAAATGAGAAAAGTCATTTATTCTGTCTTTATTTAGTAGTTTTTTTTGCAGGAACCAATTTTTGCAGATTGAGGAAAAATTGTACTTTTGTGGATGATATTTGTTTAGGGATTTCAGTTTTTACCATGTCATTTGTTAAGGTTAGCTTCAAAATTGGGGCATATTTTTATTTATCAATCACAAAGGTATAACCTGATCTTCATCTGTTGCAAGAATAGAACATGAGCATTATCATGATTACTACAATGGTACTATATGTGAAGTTCTTGTGACATAACTTTATGTTTTAACTGTTAATAGATTCTGTGATAGTTGTTTCTTGTTAATATTGTGGTTATTTAGACTTTTTTCATTGTCAATATCATTTTATTGTTTATATTGTGACATTGTATTTTAAATGTTATGCAAACTAATAAATCTCTGATTTTTATTTTACAATCTGGCATCAGAATTTATTTTTAATTTGTGGCCAATTCCTCTTGGAAGTAATTCAAACTGGTAAGCCTTTTCAGTATTATCTCGGTAGTGGAGCAGTAACCTTTGACCTTTACAGAGCTGAGTTCACCCACAGTTTTTGATGGGGTTTGTGTAGCTCAATATGGTTTTATCTGTTGTCTGTGCTGTTTCATGTTGATTGTTTTCTGTCCTTTCTGTTTGTTAAAGTTTTGTCTGTCTTTCTTTTACTTGTGGCCTTTTATCCTCCCTGGGCATTGATATCGTATTTTACCCCTCTCTTCTAAGAGGGGTATGTAGTTTTTGACCAGTCCATTCATCCATCAGTTAGTCCATCGTTCATGTTTGTGTCCTCTACTTTACATTGGATTTCAGCCATACTTAGATAAATGGTCACATATAAGGAGAAAAAGACAGACCCCTATAGATTTTGAGGGCACCACTTCGAAGTTATTAATAAGAGATATTAAATTTCATAAAATTTGTGCATGAAACTTGTTTCTGAATGCTAAATTAGATACTGCAGTAATGACTGAAAGATTACTTGGATATATGGTGACATATGAGAGGAATATTTGTATTGATGTTAAGGTCACCATGTCAGATGTCTGGACTTGGTTTACAGAATAATGGACAAAAAGTTCAGAATAAAGGACAAAAAAATAATAGAGAAAAGTAGGCAATATAAATTAAGAATAGAAAAAAATGGTTTAAAAAGTGAAAGAATAGAAAAATGAATGACCCTCATGCCAAAGGTCAAGGTCATAGTTACTAATGATAGACTAAAATTTGTACAAAACTGGTTTACTGGATCCTAAGTTAAATACTTCATATGGGATTGCTTTCTTACTTGGATATATTGTCACATCATAGAAAGGAAAAAATCACTTTGTTGTTTTTCATCGTTCTTAGCTAAATTATGGCTACCAGGTTTTACTAGAAGAGGAAGCAGGAGAGAACCACCGACATTCGGCAAAAATCGTTAAATAAGATCGGATTCGAACACACCTCGCCATAAGCGAGGTTTCACATCACAACCTCAGACTTGACAGGCCAGTGACCTCTTGATGAATTATTTGGACTATTCGACCACCGAGGGCACAATGAGAAAATTTATACAGAGCTACAACCATACATATTGGTCTCACAGAGGACGATCAATATTATGATTTCCCATATAGTTTCAACGGGAACTATGTGCAACGAATGTTGCAATGTTTGCTGACGACCGATCCACATTAAATGAGGAATGCAATATTTCCAAACATATCGCTTTGAAAAATGGAGGCAGATACCAAAGAGATACCCAAACCAAAATTTTATAATTAATATTTTTTATGAACGACATTTCACTCCAAAACATACGCTTAGAAGAGGCCAACGTAACATTACCAAGTTGGGAAAGGGAGGGGGGTATCACTCAAATGTAAAGAAGGGTATACTTTAATTATGCAACAACACAAGAGCATAAAATTTTAAAAAGTCAAAAGAGTGCATGAGGGCAACACAGGTCTTCAATGATAGCTATTTGTGTAGAATTCATTTTCTATGACTGTTCTATACTGCTGCTGGTGGACTGCTAGTCATCGATTTTAATCATAAGCATAGTAGTCAGTGCTTCAGTGAATCATAACATATCTTTCTTAAATTCTCCGTTGACAAATTTTGAAATCTTTTAAGAAACTACGATTCCAACCAACAATACATCAGTTTTGAACTGAAACGGTGATTTAGATCTAAACAGCTGTTAAAAGATTGAACAATAGTCATGTTCAATCTTTTACTTGATTTGGAGTACTAGTTATTATCCACTGCGGTAAATTCAGTACTGTTCAGACAATTCACTTGCAGTCAGTGAAGATCTGTTCAGACCGTTCAGTAGTTGCTATTTACCTGTACCAAACACCAACATACTGAATAGTTCGAAAAGCTAGTGAACAGTTATGGATTGACTATAATCCAAATGTAGATTTACAAGAAAGAATATGAACAATAACTTAACAACAAGACTTAACGTTTTTTGGATCATACGTTTTTATGACTGCAAAGATCAAAATGGCCGTACAAGACCAACATTCATTTACTAGTGACCCAAATCAGGTAAAAGTTGATTCGCCTGTTCTTTTTATGCCCCTTATGGTCATATAGCTCCCCAAGTATAAAAGTGTCTTTATATCCTTGGATTTTAATTTTTGAGTTTGAACGTTCCTGAAGAAGATTAATCTACAAAAGTTTGCGCACGCCCCAATTTTAAAAAAAGTGTTATTTTTATTTTCTAAAAAAACTGGATCGATAACGTTGCTGGTGAACTGTTAGTCACCGTGGGTATTATCATGTCGGTAGTAAGAGTTCGGCACTGACATAACTTTAGAAATCTTAAATCAAATAAGGCAAATTTGACCTTAGATTGATTTTGTTTCTTTTGTTGATAAAGTTAAGTATTGAAGTACAACAAATATATTTATACATCCTTTGCTTTCAATATGTCGGGTTTGAGCGTTTCTAATGAAGGCAATTCCAGACAAGCTCTTGAAAAGTGTTATTTTCTTTTTTCTGGATCTTGGTTGCTACAAGTGCGGTTTGTCACCGAGGGAATCATTAGTTGAAAGTGTGTCACCGCACTGACATGATCATAGTATACCTTTTCTTAAATTCTTCGTTGATAGATTATGACATCTTTAAAAAAGTAAGGTTCAAACTCGCTCAGCGAAGTTAACATTAGATAGAAGATGGCTATTCTTGTTATGTTCTATGTACTATCTTTAGCATATGTGTTCCTCATGTATTGGATATTTATACATTTGTTTTAAATTTTTTTGCTGCAGCGTTCCCGATGAAGGTAAATCCAGAAAAGGGCTTCAGATAAACCAATTTACGAGTGTAATTTTCATTGTCTATATATAAATTAAAAACTCATTTTCTAAATTAAAACTGAAAAGCATTGACCACAGTTCAGAAGCAAATGTTTTGCAAACGTCTTAATGTCAATTTGTGTAAAATTTAAGTTCATTTGTATTTAGGTCTAGGAATTATGTATTCAGGATAAACTATCATTCGGCAAGATTCATGATTGCCATAAAAAATAGTTCATTGATTGTACGTGAGAATGGAAAATAAATTTCTTATGCAAGTTTCCATCCTTCCCGAATTCGCAATACTATCGAATTTGACTAATAAAACCAGTGTTGCATAGACGACTGATATCAAACGTTACCTCCTAGTTGCATTCAAAGACTTAAACTATGCTTGAACTTCCAAAGCATCCAATATAACTCCTATGTTAATCCATTCGGTTATGACAATTCGATTTTATTTCACAAAAAGCCTCTGAATGAGTTATATGAAATTTATGATTAATATCCGACTATGATGGTCCTTTTATCTACTGATTATCAAACTGAAGGTAGTTCAATTGCAAAACAAAGTGTCTTCTATAAACTGAACGAGGTACAGAAAATTGTATCAACTATTTGAAATTGATAATAAAAACCAGATTTCCAAATGTGATATTTGTAATTATATTGCTGCTGATTAATGAAGAAATGGAATGATTTTGACATAACAACTGTGATATATGTGTTCCATTATTCACCACACATAGGTGGATTGACAAAACCGAATACATTACACTCTGTCATCACAGAAAAGAGTACGTAAATAGCATAAGATATTAGGAACATAATGCCTATACGGCGTGTAAGTCGCCAGCCCATGTAACTAATTGATCCTATCTGAAAAAAGAAAAAAAATGATTTAAAGAATGAATCTTGCAAGAATATGTACAATGATTCTATATTAAATAAATACCGTTAAAACATATAGTCTCTATGCTGAAGCCCAGATATGTAGCCCATAAAATTATAAATTTCTCGCAGCAACCATTTCGTTGATTCAAACTCTTATGTGTAAAAGAAAATAAAATTTATTCAAAAAGTTTATGACCCTTGAAATTACTGGAGCAAAGTGTTTTCAATTGTCAGTTATTTGTTTGGTAAGCTTATTGTTCAAATTTTGCTATATAGTTGTAAAATGGAAGTTGTACATTTTAGCATGTTTCTATTGAAATTAATAATTTAATATTTTCAAGAATGACTGAATGATGCAGTGACTAATTTCAAAATTTGTTAGTTATGAAAATTTAATAAAACCAAGGTTGCAACTCAGCAAAGTTGATCTTAGACTGTTTTGTTGTATTAATTGGTTCATTTGATTTTGGTGCCTTTAAACGTATACTTCTTTGGTTTCCAGACGCATCGGATATGGGTTATCACAAAACGCGCCAATGCACATTTACTTTTTTTGTTTTAATGTGTGAGCAATGGTTTCATATTAACTTTTAGCTGTTCTTTTCAGATTATTTTCAGAATATTTTTTTGCAGCATAATTTTTAGCCTTTTGATTAAATTGCTCACCGAAAGTGACAAATTTGGCTCTGCATGTTTTTGATGAAAATGAATACACACTTTTATAATGTAAGCTATTCATTCCTGATTTCGTTGACCATTATGGAATATCCGTGTCACATATGATATGCTCTACTTGTCGTTACCACAATCCCATAATCGTTTTCCTCGATTGTGACGTCAGTGAATTATTACTATCCATAAGCAACACGACTGCTTACCATTCTGGAGTTCACCCTAGGTTTTCGATGGGGTTTGTATTGCTCAATCTTAAGTTTTATGTGGAGTGTCATCGTTACTTCTTCGTATTTTCCCCCTTTATGGCCAATATATTGTCTGTTTATACTTTGACTCATGGTTTTTGATTAACCCTTAGTACATCCTCCCTCTTTTCACAAGTAAATACTCACTGTGATAATAACTGTGATAAAAAGTAAAATGATTGAATACAGCATACCATTACTGTTGATTTTAACCTAAAATCACATAATGACACTAAATTAAAGATATTTATAAATTAGGATGTCATTTATTCTGGGGTTGCTGCAGTATAATAAAACGTTGTTGTAGAAAATTTGATGTTACCTTTTGTTTAAGTTATGATGATGTTCAAATGGAATTTTCAAAGTTTTGCATCTTGCACCGTTGAAGAATTTTAAATATTCCTCTCTGTATATTGTTACCTATTATTTCGAGCAATAACCTCAATGTATTTGGATTCCTAAACTTCTTGGCCTCGAGTACTCTTAATGAAGACAATTCAATGAACACACATAAAAAGTAACGAAGCGGTACTACAGATGACTGTTTTTTTATTAACTGAATAAGCTTAATAATGGTAGTTTTCACTTAATATACAATAAGGATATGTGGTATGATTGCAAATGAGACAATTCTTCATTAGAGTTCAAATCAAGCGGATTAAGTCATCATACGGCCTTTAACAATGAGCAAAACGCATACCATATAGTCAGCTTTAAAAGGCCCCGACATGACAAAATGTGAAACAATTCAGACTAAAATACAAATGGCCTGATTCATTACAAAACAATTAACGAAAAAAGAAAGATAAATGCAAGCCAACAACAACTAATAAATAAATCATAGACTAATGCATCAGTCAGTACACAGATTTAATGTATTGACGTCTTAGAAAAGCATGACCTTGTATAATTGGTTGAATTAACTTAAGTATCCAATGGTTGCACTTAAAATGGTTTGTAATCAAATTGAGAATGGAAACTGGGAATGTGTCAAAGAGACAACAACCCGACCAAAGAGCAGAAAACAGCCCAAGGCCACCAATGGGCCTTCAATACAGCGAGAAAATCTCGCACCTGGAGACGGGCTTCAGCTGGCCTCTAATTTTCTCATTCATTCAGGAAAGAACAAAAGTAATCATAATTTTTTTTCCAGCAAATTTGTAACTTTTATTTGAACTTTTGAAAGTGTTTACATACAAAAAATTCTTTGATATTTAGAATATTTTTTATACGAATTATTGAATCTTGCTGTGTAAGGTTAACCTTAGTCATGCATGTAGTATGTAGTCACATATTAAAGATTTGAGTAGAAGCATATACCTGTATCAATCATGCAACTCATCACGATCCTACCAACGTATGGGTTTTATGGTAAATGAAAGATTACGTCAGTTCGATGCTAATTACACGTAATTACTTAATTTCAAACATGTTACACATTTTACTCGTTATAATTAAACTTCTCAATCGCTTTTTGGTATTACAAATTACATTTAGTTGATTCTCTTTGCAAACTTCGACATTCATTTTAATGAAACACACAATAAAACTTTTTGATACGATTGTAAAAAAGGAAGAATATATCAAATGCTTTCATACGGTATGATAAGGCCACGTGTTAGATGGTGCAACCTCACGTAAAAATAAAAAAAAGTATTTTCACTATACTATAGATTATTTGGTATTCGACAAATGTTACACTAAACAAGCGAACAAACAGGGTAAACTTAAGAGGAAAAAACGGTTACCATTCAATACTTACTGTAGTTCCTGAATATGCTATTCCAGTTTTTAAAAACCAAGGTAAAGATAAACCTAAAAGGATGTCGAATATGTTGCTTCCTAAACAGTTGGAAATCGCCATATCTCCCATACCTATAAACAGAAACATGTTCTCTTAGTATCTATGATGAGTTTATTCATCAAGTTACGGCATCCATGTAAGGAAAGTTCTCATTGGACGCAGGAGAAATCTTTCTTTGCTAACAAACAAAAAATTCCCCATTTACTTTTATGTGAAAAAAATGAGATAAAGATAAGTTTAAATATTTATTTGACATGCAAAAAATAATTTGAAAATGGTAATTTTTGCGAGTCTTTATTTGAAAATGCAATGTGAATATTTATTAGGTTAAATATAATGTGACGACTCATTCATTTTAAAAAAATCCATATGCTTACTACATTAAAAAAAATTCAAGAAGATACTTATTTAGAAGTATTACTGATGAATAGTTCTCTTAAAGTATTTCTGAAATATGTTGGAGATAAAGTTTTTTTTTAAACTGTGAGTATTACAAAAAAGACTTGCCTTGCTTGACTACAAAGACACTAGCCATTGCATCAGGTATACTGGTACCGGCAGCTAGAAAAGTAATACCCATAACACTATCTGGTATATCAAGTGTGAATCCGATAACTGTAACCTAAAACGTTTTATTTATATTGTTACACTGTTGTATAATTAAGAATAGCACATTTATAGACAGAATAAAGAAGTACAATCAGTTGTTGGAAAGTAATAAAATTTGGACTCGACAAGATTTAAAATCTAAGATTTTTTTACAACTTTATTAGTTGTATGTTCATCCAACCATTTGCATTCGGGAAATGTCTGTATCAAATCAGGGATATGACAGTTGTTTTCATTAAAAAGGGTTGTAACGTCATTACGGCAAATCCGTGAAGGATGCCGTTTGAGAACAACATAAAAGGCGATTTGATGGGCATATAATTGGCTCTCGATTGTGAATCTAATTTCATTATACCGTCAGATTTGGACGTCGATTAAAGAAACGGATGTTGATTTGAGACCAAACGTCAATCTGGGTTCTACATATATACCGGACTTATCTGTACTATGTTTTATACAGCCTAATGCTGCATATAATATATAAATAAGTTAAATTACAGATTCCTCGTGAAAATATGCTGGATCTATTTAGATTTAAATGAAAGTAGATAAGGTAAACATCACCTGTTGTACATGCGTTCCATTGTTTGCAACTAGATAAATTATGTCCCTTCTTATAACTTGAACACCCTAATGGATATGGAAAAACTATGTATTAGTAAAAATAGATAACACTTACCATCCACACCATAATATATGAAAACAAAGCTATCCAAACTATTGACATCACAAACGTCAACAAAAACCAATTCTCCCATCTGAAATATTGAAAGTGTTTAGTAGTGTTGCTTTTGTTACGACTTGTTAAAAAATATGATTGAAAAGATGAGTAAAGCAAATTTGCCTTTTTATTCTGCATTTGATTTATTGGTTTTATTCACATTCAACATTATTTGTTGTTTTGCATTCGAAAATTTTTATATCTTCAAGTTATTTTCTGAACAACAGTATATAAGCCTTTTTCAAAAATGTCCATTTTTGACAACTGGAAAATGACCAAAAAAGATGTAGAGGGGAAAGACTACAATTTGAATAAAAAAATGATTATTATTTTGCCAATTGCTTGTTGTCGTTGCGAAGTGGACATTTTTTTCATGGACGCCACAAATCTATTTGAACTTATCATAATATTTGAATACTTTTTGTAATGTTCAGATGTAGCTCTATGACAAAACATTGAAAAAGAAGGGTAAATTGTATGAAATTTTGAAATTTTTTTAATAAACTTCCAAATGTGGACAGAGCGTTTTTTGCTGTTTTTGAGCCCTTTGGTCTGATATTTTCAGAAATTCCTTACCACAAGGCATGCAAAAAATTCTGTCGTTGTCTTTAATAAGTACAATTTATAGTCTGAGACAACAACAAAAATGATGTATATGATTTTATCACAATTTAAGCACCGGACAGAGAAAGTGGACATTTTTGAAAAAACGCCCAAATACGAAAAAAAAAATTTAGTCAGCTTTCTCAAATACATTATGTCGTGTAAAAAAACTTGTCTACCTACATGCAATATTTTACCGATGAAAACAACTTTACGATGAAATAGAGAATATTATTTAGCTTTGAAGTGTCGCACTTACATCAACTCGAGATCCCCAAAGTAATCCCAGGAGCTTACCCCTTGAGCATTGCTATGTAGTAAGTATTGATACGGTGTGTGGTTTTGAAAAAGACATATCATATACATTTAATTGTACATTTAAATAGTTTAATTTTGGATGTAACACGTCTTCTGATTGGCTAGAAGTGTTTTTGTCTATCAGCCCCTAGACAAAATGTTATCATGTGACACTGACGTCATCAACGTTTTTTCATGATTTACTCCTTAAAATGGAATTTATGATTAAATCATAAGGAATAACTGTAATATTATTTCTGTCTTTTCAAAATAACCTCAAAAATGTAGTGCACATTTTTAAATAACCCGCTTTGCTTGTTATTCAGTGTGCAACACATTTGTGATGTTATTTCTTCATAGACCGAAAAAATGTTAAAGTCATTCCTTTAATGAAGGCAACATTAGTTTACCGATGATAAAATCTCATAAGTCGATTAAGATGACAAACCAAGGTAACAAGCATGAATTGAGAGAATCGCATAAATTCTAAAAGGAGCGAGACCGTGTGCGTTGACAGGGGAAGCAACTACTGCTATGTTTCCATCACCCGCCACCCGAACTTACACGCAGTCACAATTTCACATTCGGGAAAAAGACACAATCGGTAAAATAACAGATTAGATAACTTTTCTGGTATCTACAGACGATCTAAGATCTACAACCTCAATTACCGTTCTTTTCTGCAGTCTGGCACTGTATAATACAACACTGTCTTCAGAGGATAAGAGAGTGCCCATTTAATCATAGCAAAATAGCCATCGTCTGTGAAATAAATATGCTTATGCATTATATCTGGTTCATCTTGGTCTAAACATCTACTTATAATGATTTAACCTTTATGGTTTTTTTTATGGTTTATTGCGTTGTTTGGTTGGAGGCTGTCTCTTTGACATCTAGCCTTGATATGTGTTCCGTTGCATTAAGGATGTATTCTTCTGATGTTTCAGTCTCATTGAAATCTCGTTCGGGAATTATTTTCAAAACATGTGATACAAGTGGAAAATATTAATGAATTTAAAGAAGGTTATAATTGAACTATATCTGTGAAAAAAATGTGTACTTACAATATGTGGTTTTTGAGTAATAAAATTTTCAAATTTTATAACCAATCCGACCAGTGTCATCAGCCAAAGTGTTGAGAAAATGGGTGAGGGGTACAAAGAAACAATTTTACCAAAAATATGTTCATCCCAAATCATTTTTTTTTTGCTTTACAAAATTTTTAAACGTGTATTTTTTTAATCATTTATAAAAAAAAGAGAAAAATCCCAAACTTACAAAATTGGCAGCATGGTTAATTTGACACGAAAAAGCAACACATTTTTATAAAACTTTCTAATATTAACACCAACCTATAGTTTTTTTAAGTTAAATTTATTCAGATTGGTCCACTTCATCTTTAATGAAAAATTGTATTGAGAAACTGTGATTTTTTTAATGATAATAGCCCAAAAATGAGAATGGGGTATTTTCAAATGGCCGAAGCAAAAAATGAAGTGCACCACCATAAGATTTTTTTCTTCATCAATTACTTTCTTACAGTCATATAAACCCAAAAATCAAGTTAAGAAAAAAAGTTTAATTCTAGAAATTGTTGGCTCCTCAGAGGTATACATCCTTAATAAATTGTATGCGTCATATCATGCTTTGAAATTCCGTTCGTCATATATTTCCGGTAATAATGATTTCCAATACGTTTTTTCCTTTTTTGGTAATCATTAACAAAATAAACTGATTTTACAGTAAATCTGTCCCCCTAAGTTTTTTTTCAATAATCAGTATTCAATAGCATATCACCCTTATATATCAGTTTTTGCTGAAATTCTATCACAAAAAAACACTTTTCACAAAACAATGTGATTTGTTTACAAAAATAAAGTTTTAACCATATATCTGTTTTTATTTTTGAAGTACGACGTATAATTGCTGACGAACAGACAGACATGAATCCGGACCGAAAGATACATTTTACTAGGTTAAATTCTTAATACTTCTAGTGTTCTGTTCTGTTTGACCAAATACAACGAGATCTGGTACTGCTTGAACTTGTCATTGATGATTTCATTTTGCAAAATTGGTCAATGCTATAAAAAAATAATCAGACACCTGCTTATTGATGAAAACTATATTGTGACTTTTGGTTTGATTAGATTGTCGTATTGCTGTCTCATAAGCGTATATCTTCTTTTATTCACAATGCCGTTATTATCTGAATAACTATACCTATACTAGGAACTTTTCTCCAGTAGTCCCAGTCTTCACCTTCCATCGTTATATTGAACCTTCAATATATTTATGAAACAACGGAATATTACAAAGACTATGAATTCTATGTATGGGCAATATATAAAGTCGTGCTTCTTATGACATATGAACTTGAAAATTTTTCTGCATAAAAACCGTGTTTCTAATCTATTCCACTGGTGTTAAGGGCATGGATTCACTTTTTATATTTAACTTTTTGTTTGTTTAAGGCCGTACGATACTAAACATTTCTCGTTTTCCCTAACTATTTTTACACATTTTGATATGCAATATCGAAATATGAAAAGAAAAATATACCTTCATCACTTTCTTTTCGAAATATTTCAGTTTGATTTTGGTCTGTTTGAGGTAAAATCACAATGTTGCATATTAAAATAAAAGAACAGAGTTCCAATGTCCCCCGCGTTGCACATATTTTATATTACCAAGGGACATAGCTCTTTTTAAAAAAGTCGATTGTCCACCATCATAGAACTTGTCTGAGATATATAATTGTACCCATGAGAACGCTAACGAGGCCATTTTTCATAAATTTAATATTTCCAAGGGGCATAACTTTTTAAAAAAAATCGATCGTCCACCAGTTTAGAACTTGTCCGAAATACTGCTGATATCAACCTATAGTATAAGTTTTATAAAAATCTGGCAATAATTGTACCCATGAGAGCGCTAACGAGGCCATATTCCATAAATTTAATATTTCCAAGGGGCATAACTCTTTTTAAAAAAGTCGATCGTCCACCATTATAAAACTTGTTCGAGATATCGCTGATATTAACGTATAGTATAAGTTTTAAAAAAATATGGCAAGAATTGTACCCGTGAGAGCGATAACAAGACCGGACGGACGGACGGACGGACGCCCGGTATTTCCATGCCCCCCCCCGCAACGAGTTACGCGGGGGACAAAAATATAGAAGAAAAAAAAGCAAGCTTTTGAAACCACAAACCAAATGATATATTTCACCCGGTTTGTTGTAAAGTATTCCTAAGTTTATAGGCATTAAAGGCTGTTTCCAAATTGAAGTTAAAATTAGATAAAAATGTTATGAAATCATGCAATTATTAATGCCAAAACGAAGCAGACAGCCTTCCTGCCAATACAAATGCATGCAGAAAACAAATCCACCTTTGAGTTTGTCTTATAATTATGACAAAACATTGTTCGAAGTCGTTCACAATCAATTGCAAAAGAAGAAAAAAACAAATGGATCGAGTGGACATATCCTTGTTTTTTTTTGGCAGAAAACCTTTTGTTTAATGCCATAGATTGCACATCTGATTCTAGCGCAAAATTACGTCGCAGTGTATTGTTGAAGGCGCATCGTCGTGTACGTAAACTAGCCTCTGTATGCCACAACGTCATACGAATCTCCAACAGTTTTGGAGACTATTTGGTAACATGAAAGTTACCAACTGCTAATTTAAATCGAGTTTTATGTCCCTGTCAATTCCATGTGCTTCGATAAATAGCATCTCTGTTTCCTTTCAGACTGCTTTCAAACTCATGCAACAGATTTTATGACGTCATTGTGTTTTCCTGGAAATGCAGAATCATTTATTATCAATGTCGAGAAAACAACGCGTAAGATTTGGATGAGTTATTGTCTGTCCCATTACACGTTTTATTAAATTGTCTTTACTATTTTTACTTGTTTTTCCATATTTGATGTGTTCTTGCCAATTTATTCTTACATTTATTGTAGTTTAAACATGCTGCCCCTCTACCCTCTCTGTGAAAACACATATTGCTATGATTCAATGTAACTTCACATACCTTGAGATCATCAACATCATTATTTCACATTGCACATTTTTACATTGTCGATTCATTATTTTTTCTAAAATGTTTGTTTGTATGTATTTCGGAGCTTATTTCCTGCTTTTATTTTTATCACAGAAAACTCTGAGCTATACTCAAGAAAAAATAATTCTTTTCAAACTTTTTCGAAATCCATTTTTGGTCAAATTGATTTTTTCGTAACTAAGTCTTTTTTAAGTTTTTAACTATCAAATTTCACATACCATCCTCGAATGGATCTTGTATAAGACAGAACACTCGATTTGTGAGCCATTTTTCTAAACTGTTGTCTCTTCTGGTAAGCTTCATCTTTGAGCATTCGTTTTCTCTAAAAAGAATGAAAGAAAAAAACCTACTGTTGAAACTAACTGTAGGAAGTTATCGAAAATTGAAGAATAAATATACTTTTTTTCAAAAATACAGAAGATACTCTTTATCTCAAAATACACTTACAAAATTATGTTTTTATACTCTTGGACTTCTTTCTTTATCTGGCCTTTTAACTTTTTTTATTCGAGCGTCAATGATAAGTCTTTTGATGACGAAACCCGCGTCTGGCATACGCAGTTACAAGCCTGGTATCTTTGATGAGTTTTTTCCTATATATTTTACATTCCAAGGGAAGAGGTATGTTAAGGCATTACTTGACAAATGGAATTTGCAAATATGTAAGAAAATGTGGCCTTATCATACATTCTCCTTTGCAGCATTTATCACAACTGTATAAACTTGATATTGCTTTAAAAAATTGAAATAGCAGTAATATGCCTGATTTTTCAATTCAACTATTTGTTTTGTTTTGTCTTTAGTCGTTATTGAATAGCTAGTTTTCTTTATTGGCAGACAGCAACAAAAAAAACCTAGCAGATACCAGATATAGTGCCACAAAAGCAAAAGAGCAACCAAAACATTGTTGCTTTCAACATATGAGAAAGCTTTTAATGGTAACATATACAATTACAATAAGTATAGGAAATTATTTACAATATAACCAATAAAATTGTTTACTTAGGGCTGAATTGAGACTCTATTGACTCGAAAAGTGCACCAAGCATATGCCTTCTGAGTAGTATTGTGTATACTAAAATCGATTATAATGTTTGATATAAACATGAATTTCCAAATGTGTAAACATTAACAAGATTTATTTTACAAGTTCTATGTTCTAATATCAAATTTACTTACATATGATATAATGAGACAGGCCGCCGACCGGAATCTTGTCAGGGGTTTAAACTTCTTCATCATCATCATACGAAAGACGAAATCACAGAAATGGGGTCTGTAAATATACAGATGCAGTTATTAATTTTCGGAAAAACAGCATTTTGTTTGGACGAAGTTCTTGAGAGTCAAAGAAAAAGAAAAAAATTGGCAATCGAACCATAGTGTAAATATTGCACGTGAACTCTATAAAAAGCAAAAATGAAATATCTTCATAATAGAGGGACAACTGTCATCAGTCTGAGAAATATGTGTTAAGAGTTGCAGAAAATCTACGAAATTGAAAATACCATTTTTCCACGGAAAAAGTCTTAATTCTAAAACCACGAAGTGAAAATAGTCATTATTAGAATAAAAAGTCACGTATTAGCCATTAGTTTTAAATGAAAATGAAGAAAGCTGGGGTGTCTAAATGTTCGACGAAAAATTTTACTTAAACTTCTGTAAAAGACTTTTAGGACATTGTGCTTTCAAATTCAAAATATCTAAAATTCACCGACATTAACGAAAATCATAATTATTGTATATAGGGGAAACTTAATATTTCCTAAGTGAGAAAAAATTAAACAATAAAATTGGTTAAAATTCAATGAGATCATTGCTTTTCATCAATACTTCCGAAATATCAAATTAAAATAGGGGGTTACGAGCCTCATTTTCTTAAAAAATTAGGAAAAAAAACAACACAAATTGTCCTTGGTGTATTGACCCCTAATGTAAATCTCATGTCCTCCTCTACGGGAAATTAATTACCCCTTTTTATGCTTTTACGGTTATTTTCATTTGTTTGCATTTCATATTTTCTACCAAACAGACGAAGTGACTATTCCATAACAGAGGGGTTAATCACTAGTATGCCTAAATGATAAGGTTTTATTTTACAGAAAACGAGGGGGGATTAATTTTCCACGATGGGGGTCAAAATACCACAGCTAAAATCAGTGTATCATTTTCAGCTTATGGTATTCATTAGGGATAACTATGGCAGAATTATAACTAATTGAAGTATTTCAAATCGTATTAAAAATGATAATTTTAAGGTCCATATAGCATGGTACAGGAAATTGTGAACACATATTTTTCAACCTATCTTATTCAATATGTAGACTTATTAGAGATTTAAAACAGGATAAGGTAAATGAATTTTAACAATTATTTTGGAGTGTTACCTGTACCATTATAAATTTTACAATATTGTTCAGATAATAGTATTACAAATAAGAACTCTGAAATACACGAAAAGTTAGTATTAGTGATATGAATTTAAAATGTCCAAAAAAGTTTGTCGTATATTTGGAGGAAACGACAACTATCAAGAAGATATTTGATCAAAGAGAAGTTAAAAACAACATCAAAATGTTGATGGATACTCAACCGTGTACCAAGGATTCCGTAAATACGCAACGCAATTTTATTCGCAATTATCAGCCATAATAATTAATATACAAACTAAACACTATGTTATATATTTACAACATTTGATTTATACTTGATTTGCGTTGATTTTGCATATTCGTCGGGAGGAATTTCTCTGTCACGCCATTTCTTTGTTTCTATCGCAGTGAAGACCTCATCATCCTCATCTGTGAAAACCTCTGCAAAATAATACAAACGGTAATTTTCAATTTTTCTATTGGTCTGTTGATACTCTGTGATGTTGATTCACTCAAGTGTAAGGTTGTATGACAATATATTTCAATATGAGCAGCTTTTAAAGTAATATAAAAAGAAAACTCGTATCACATTAGCCAATATTAATACATCAAATCATGGGAATGTGCTAATTATACATGTATCACCCTTTGTGCGATACCAAACTCATGTTCAGTAGTCATGTGGTAGTAGGTGCAATGACTGATCAACAGAACCAGTAATAGCCCAAGCTGGAGGAAAATTGACATGTATGTAAAGATTTTAACACAATGTTGACTGCTGTGCCCCAAATTTTTGACATTTTTACCTATTATGTCTGTTTGTTTTGGTCCCACATTGTTGGCAATATAATGGAATTCTATGCGACTGTAATACAAGTGAGAGGTTTAGCTAGCTATAAAACCAGGTTTAATCCACCATTTGTCTACATAAGGAAATGCCTGTACCAAGTCAGGAATATGACAGTTGTTTTCCATTCGTTTGGTGTGTTTGAGCTTTTGATTTTGCCATTTGATTAAAGACTTCCGTTTTGAATTTTCCTTGGAGTTCGGTATTTTTGTTATTTTACCTTTTTTTTGTATATTGAGATATGCGACATCATATAACGACCAGTAAATTCTTAATGGTGCTAATAAAATGTAAATTCAATTTTGACAAAAATTGTTCACCTCATAACCTTGTTGGAGAAGTTGTTGAGTTTGATTTACAATAGCCTGAGAATCGTTTATGGTAAGGAAACGCCATAGGCTGGGATAAAGGGTTTTCATGTGAATGTTTTATTGACAACACTTTGTATGTTTGGTGGACAACATAGAGAATAGAATTGAGGCTTCGACAACTGGAAAACATCCGTAGTCAGGAACGATATTCCCTTATGGTCATAATGGTGCCCGTAAAACTTTCAAAGAGCTTTAAATTGGCCATGTCATCAATGATCAGAAATTGTTTGATGATATGAAAAGGCATATGGAAGTTGGATGTTATGTTATGAATTTGAACAAAGTAATTAAGAGAGTCAACCATAGATGTCTCGTACGAATTTTTATCCTTTAAAGAAGATATCGAATGAACACTAGTTCAAGGACGAATTTTGTAACAATTCTTCGGCATTTTGTTTCCTTAAAATAATTTGATTTGAAATTGATTGGTAAAACAGAAAGGCAAAGGCAAACATTGCATAATAAACAGACAATTTTTAACCGTTTTGTCTTGGATATATAATGATTAATTAGTTTTTATTGGCTTGGAACTTGTTTTCAGTAACTGCCAGTACTCCCAGATCGGTACTTTGTGTTAATTTTTTAGTTTGTTTGTTTTGATTTGTATCGATCTGATGAGTCAAACCTTTTCAACTGATTTTTATATTATGTTCTTATGTTGTGCTGTTACACCATTGTCCCAGGTTAGGCGACCGCAATAATGTTAAACCCCGCTATATTCTGAATGTGTCTGCTGTCCCAAGTCTTGACCTGTAATTGAGAGGTTGTCTTTTGTTGCTGTATATCTTATTTGTTTTTCGTTTATTGTTTTGTAGTTTATTCTAGTGTTGTGCTGTTACATCCTGTCCAAGATAGGGGGGGGGGGGGGGGGGTTGAGTACCCCAAAACACGGTTAACCCCGCCACATTCTCCATATGCCTATCCAAGTCAGGAACCTGTTATTCAGTGGTTGCCGTTTGTTACTGTATATCATATTCGTGTTTCGTTTTTTGTTTCGTACATAAATCAGGCCGTTCTCATTTGAATTGTTATACTTTCTGTTATGTCGGGGCTTTTATAGCTTGCAATGCGACCTATAGTTATTAACATTTACGTCATTTGGTCTGTGGTGAATTTTTGTCTCATTCACAATCATGCCACATCTCCTTATTTTATATTTTTATATTAGCAATAGCGTTGATAAAAATGTATTCTTATCGAACAACTGTGCCAGGATATACGTTTATGTCAGAAACGGAAAACAATATAATGATATTTATATTTACACCAAGATGTCGTTAAATGAAATTGGATACCCTGCATTTATCATGCTTTCCAATAACATATGGTCAAATCGCTAAAAGACTCCCCTCCTAAATTATTGAAAACTATCATTCTGCATTGACAATAATATCTTGGTGTAAATTAGATACACCAAATCGGGCTAACGCCTTTATAGGTGTATCTTGTACTTAGATTCACTTAAGTTGTAATTTTATATTTTTTTCACCGTATCGTTAACCTGTCAACGTTAATCAATGAGGATGAGATACTCTAAATAGTTTTCTCTCGGTTAGATAAATAAGAAAATCGATTGATCGGTTGAATGATTTTTTTTCCAAATATTTCATGCTTATTCAGGAAGAAAATACATTAAAAATTTAAGCAAGAAGTAAGTTCTGCAAAGGTGATCGCCCGGAATAAAAGGCGATAATTTTGACTGCCATTTAAAAGTATGTTTGAGGGTAGACATTTTGCCTTGCAAAACCGCTTAAGAGTTGTTGCGAGGATTGTTTCACATTCAGAGAGCATGTCACTATCTCTTTACCAATCATAGAAATTGACGTCTCAATTCCAACCGGACATGACTGCATATGTATACAGACAATCGTACGTCACACTGAAGCAAGGAGTTTACTGCCGGACGAAAATAGTTCAAGGAATGGCCATGTATCTATACCCCTGTAAACCCTTGTGGTTAAGTATGCACATTTCAATATGGTTCTTAGATTTTGCATACCACATTTCAGAGAGGGTGCATTTACAAGATGTACAAACTAAGCGATGTGTAGAAGATTGTTTAGTTCAGCTACACTTCTTATAGTACATTAGATGAAATGATAATGGATTGTCAACTTATCAAAAACACATCCTGCATTTATATCGTTCTATTAAATCCCTTGCATTATGATAACTTAAACGTAGAGACAAACCTGACGGTTCATAATTACAAATGGATCTTTGATGTTTAACGCCACATTCAGCTATTTTGTGGCGACCAGTTTATATTGGTGGATGAAGCCATAATGCCAGGAAGGAACCAACGACCCTAAGCAGGAAAACTGGTAATCATAGTCAATTAAGATTAGAATCGAATGCACCTGAAAGGTGTGGGTTCGACCTCAAAAACTCAGTGTTGACAGGCTAATGATACAGTATATTAACGACTTGGCCATCGATACATAACAACAAGTACTAATTTTAAATTAAAGACATGTATAAAACATCACTATATCCAATGTTGAGTATTTTACAATTCGCAATTAGGAAGTTTTTTTTTTTTCAAAACAGTGTTACTCTCTGTGAGTTTAGAAGATTTTCTGTTTCAAATAGTGCCCAAGATGCAATCAATGTTGGCAGGTTGATAAAAACTATCCTGCTGACTGCTTAATGCGTGTCAATTTGATAAATACAAAATTTTAATGAATTGAAAATCAATCTTAAACTTTAATGTATTACAACAAGCAAACTATGAACTTTTGAGCATGAATTAGCAATGCAATCAGCCATACTGACTGTCATTTAAGAAGAAAAAATTAAACCAAGGACAACGTACTGCAATCCAGTGTCCAACAGAATCCACCATTTTCTACATAAGGAAATTTCTGTACCAAGTCAGAAATATAACAGTTGTTTTCCATTCGTTTGATTTGATTGAGCTTTTGATTTTGTCATTTGATCAAGGACTTTCCGTTTTGAATTGTCCTTGAAGTTCGGTACTTTGTTATTTTACCCTTTTTTGCATAGAATTAACAGAAATCGAGATAGAAAATTTTTAATGCGTGTCTGTGATACTTCAATGTACTAAAATTCAACCACTGGATTATGCAACAGATCATGTAAATAAACTAATACGAAAAAGGCTTCGTGGTGTATAAGGCAGTACAACAGAAGCCCAAGTAGCGCAACAACACATTATATGACAGTTGTTGTCCATTCGTTTGATATGTTTGTGCTTTTGATTTTGTCATTTGATCAGGGACTTTCCGTTTTGAATTTTCCTCGGAGTTCAGTATTTTTGTGATTTAATTTTTTAAAACCAAAACTTAATGGATATTGTTGTAAACCTTTCAAACACTAAAACCAAAATTTGAATTCCTGGAGCAATTTTTCTGAACGAAAGTGTCTTTAATATAAGTTAAGTCAACTCTTCACATCGCTTTTCTTATGTAACTCAAATGTGCATATTTGTGTATACATTTCAGCATTACAAAAATTTGCCTTTGGACCTTCCGAATGAGATAAAATTTAAAAATTGCTTCGAATCCAACAAGATCGACAGACTGCAATTAGTAATAGCGTTAGTGGATAACGGTCATAAATTTGCCAGTCATTCCATTATTTGAAAATATACGCAACATTTACTTGTTTTATACAAAATAATATACACCCGTTATTGTCAAACATGAACACTATGCTTTAAATCCCAAAAGTTTTTATATTGAAACATAAATATATATATGTAACTAGTCCATATTTCAACTTATAAGATTTTTTAAATAAGGTAATATACCGAAGTTGTTTGTAATTGTTTATGTCCAAACTTACAATATGCAAATTCCCAACTCAAAGACATGACACCAGGTTCGTGCATTTACAATATTTCGATTAGATTAATTCCCGGTCATGCTGTCTGTCAAAATGAACCATGCGAGTAGATATATACGTATGTTAGGTTTCTAATTGCGTAACAGAAAATCGTTGAATTAAATTAATCGATTGTCTGTTGTAATGATGGACGACTGAAGGAATACGATGTTTTGTCTGATAAAAGCACTAAAACCATTAACATGTGGTTCCTTATCTATACTTCTGCTCTTGCAAAGTGAGTGATTTGTTTATGGGTTCTTAAAAGGAGTATAAAAGCATGTCTAACGTGCTTAAACATACCATAATCTCCAGGAAAAGCTCTTTTAGCACCATTTATTGGTAAAATATTGGAAGACTTAATTTGGTCTATCTTGTTAGCAAACCAAGATTGCAGAACTGTATTATATCTAAAAGAGAACAAGATCAATACGATTAGATAATAAAATTAATATAAAATATTACTCAGCAACATTTCCTGTTTTTCTAGGTTTTTTTATGCGCACTTCGGAGTCCTATAAAATTATTCAACAATAAACCGGTTTTCCAGTATAATTTTCTGTCTTTCGATCTTTAAATTCCCATAGTTTATTGACATATAATTTAATTAACCATGCTATAAATGCACACAAGTTGATTTAAAAATCTAGATTATGAAGAAAGTGTCATAGTCAATGGTAACAGATGAAACTTGATTAATACAAAGTTTTACAAAAATGTATTGTAATTGCGAATATTCCCTGGATGTAAATCACGAAACAAGCTCTTAGTTTGATTAAAACAACAGACAAAAGTACGAGTCAGATATAATAAACTGATAAATATTGGTATGGCTATGGCATTTCAGTAATAACTCACGCATTACTAGAAACATTACAAGTATTCGAAAGTGTACCTAATGAAGACAACATTTTCAGAGTTCCCTTTTATCATCAGATATACTTTGCTTTGATTCAAAAACTTGTCTATCAGAGCAAGGGCATACGATACAGTACCAAGGGTAGATAAATATGCATCCAAATTTAATCCGTTTTTTTTTTGCAATGTTAATAATTCAAGCATTTCACGGAAAAATGACTAACATCACATCAAATTGGTTCCGTGGATTTGAAATTATTTGCAAAGGAAAATAAAGATAATGTATATTTTAACCCTCAAAATCTACTGCGGAGTGTATAAAACATGAGGCAACTGAAGACTGTTTACTTTCCTATCATTAATAAATTCATAAATTCGTATATGACAGTAATTCGAATAGCGTTCTCATGTACGAGTAGAATTACTGCACGACGCTGTTGCATTAAAAATACACCTAGACATAATTTAGCGCCAATAATGGGATTGCTAACTATGTTTTCTTTTTCTAGTAAAATAGTGGACACATCGGCCCCCATTTTCCCTTTGCAATCGATGATGTACTGCTTTAAGAATGTTATATCGAAATTGCAAGAAAAAAATCAAGGTAGAATTTTTTCTGTATGCATGTACGAATTTAAACTTCATTTTAGGAATTAACTGAAAGGCCAATAATTTAAGGAACACTTTGCAAAAACCGGGTGAAAATATCTCTTTCTGTTGGAAAGTTGTGTTAATTTTTCGGAAAGTATCGAAAAATAAAATTTTGGGTTTTTACATAAAACATGATAATTTCAAGCTCAAATATTTCGAAGAGTAAGTCATGGATGCCTGTTTGTTTGTCTTCGCATAATTCGATAGTGCATATCAAAATTGACTTGTGTCAAAATTTTAGGGAAAAGTCAACGAGGGGTCTTTTCTGCATCCTATGCTCCTACATGTTTTAAGACAGTCAGTTACACACGAGTAAATCACAAAACGTAGGTGCTTATTTCGTGTTTCATATTAGTCTAGTCGTTATTATACAAACAGTATATCGGGACTTCAATAAACAATGAGAACACCATACGTCGAAAATGCTCATGTGATCGTGAATGTTTCAAACGAGTCAAAATGTATGTATTTTTCTTCTGTTTATTAGGAAAAATAAGACATTAGAACAAAACTCAGACACGTCAAATTTGAAGCTGCTTAAGAAAATTAATCTTAAGTGTCAATTAGAAACCTGTACCCTGTACTTAGGTCATATAATAGTAGTAATCGGCAGATTAGCCCGGGGATTATGTTATAGATAATGCATATGTAAAAATTTTTCTTGCCATATAACACACCGAGGGGTTTCAGGATTGTTCAAATGAAAGACCGACCGTAGGGAGGTCTTTCTTTGCGCAATCCTGTACCAAGTCATGAATATGACAGTTGTTTTCCATTCGTTAGATGTGTTTGAGCTTTTGATTTTGCCATTTTATAAAGAACTTTCCGTTTTGAATTTCCCATGGAGTTCGGTATTTTTTGTTATTTTACTTTTTTTTATATTACCATTAGCTATTATAATTGGAAAACTTGTATCTTTTATATTTATGGTTTTGCCGCGTCTTCTTTTATTTATTGTTGTTTTATTTTTGTGTGTGTGTGTGTGTGGGGGGGGGGGGGGGGGGTAACCAAAGTATGACTGATTAAGTTATAGTTGAATACCAATATTTCATGTACACCATCACCATTAAACGTTGACAATATCATTGTTTTGGTATTTGTTGATAAAAAAACAAACGGATTTAATTTCAACTTATGTTTCATATATTATGCCTGACAGTCTCAGCTTAATAATAAAGATCATATATCAAACCAAGTGTTACAGAATGATCGACATATACAATTAAGTGTGACGATTCCTTCAGGTTTCTATGTTTTGGTAATAACATACTTGTCATATAACTGACTTCAGTTTCGGAATTAGGTGTATGCCGTTATATTTTCATAGAACTCAAAACAGTTTATAATAATACAGCAAAACTATCTACTGATCAAAGTTTAAATATAAAATTTGCAAAAAACACAGAACACCCAATTTTTATACTGTTGAACTTAATGATCGGTGGTTTGTAAACCAGATTGCCATAGAATATTTTTACAATGATTATGAATGCAGTAAATTACGTTTACCTAATTTTGCTTATATTCAACAAACCGGTTCTTGAAGATTTGATAAATTTTGATAAACTAGTAATGTTCATTCGATGATTACAATCTACATTTTCCATTAAATTTATTGAGAAACAGATTCTTCCATTATAACCAGTTGACTACAAAATGTATCCCCTCCCGTTAGTTCGTCTTCCAAATTCAAAAATGTTCGTTAAACCTTGCATTAAAAAGTTAGAAAATTTTATCATCTCATGATCATATTGTCCTAAGTAATGAGCAGTTGTTTGATTCATGTTGGAATCAAGTTATATGAAAACAAAAGATCAACGATTCCTCAGATAGTGAGATGCGTTTATCAATCATTAAGTTGATTACAAGCATGTGCCATTAAAATAATGTGTTATCTGCAAACATTCGAGTCTCGAAATTGAGACCATTTATAAAATTTCTTTAAGGTATCTACCAAATAATATTCGAACACAAATATTTCATAGCCAAGGGTATATCAGTATTTGAATACACATAAAGCTATATGACCAAAGTGTTTGTAATAAGAATATCCAAATCACGTGAGCCAAATCCATCTAAAGTCAAATTTTCCCGTACCCAATCAACCCTGAAATTATATCAAATAAAAATCAACAAGTTGAATATCGGAACTCATATTGCATCTATATTATCTCATTACCAGAAAGAAATTTCACTAGACATAAACATAGCCTAAATTGGAAACAGTCTAGAAATATATTATTTTCACAAATCTGTCAATTCTGTCTACGGCTATTAATCGGTAAAAATATGTCAATGGGTGCAAAACTAATGTGGAATCAGCAAATAATTTTCAGTTGTTTGAGAAAAATCTGGATTAAATGATTGCTGTTTGCTTAATGTGCACTGGCAAAATTTAAAGAAATTTAATATTTTTTAGAACGATAACAAATTAACATATATTTCTAATAGATTGGCTCTGCAAAGTGGTACAAGGGGGAATAACGGTTAACATCTGGACTGCCAATGAAAAATAGGGGTATGTAAGATAGGAACAGATATTCCGCATTACAACATTTGACTTAAAACCCCTGAAAAAATATGTTGCAAAGGTTCTTTAACGTGCTGAGAGCATGACACTGTTCCAACACGAGGCATCGGATTTTACATTAAAATTCCGACTGCACGTGACTGCGTTTTTATACATCGAAGCCAAAGACATTTAAGCGTGGGTTTCATCGGACTGAAGAAGTACAGGTGGTCATGTTTCTATAACCGCAGTCGATCAGTATGAAATCTTGAGACTGCCTAACAATAAAGAAGAAAATGTTCTTGTCATCATAATTTCGAAAGCCAAAGATCGCAAATTGGTCAAATTTGTTCAGACTGTCAACATGTCGAATTGAATGTGTTACAATCCATAAAGGAGAACTCAAGTTATCACCAAAATCAACGCCTCTGAATGATAGATATATGCTTCTGATTTATTTTGGAATGAATGGAAAAATTTGGTTATCTAGAAATCTAAACTGTTATCTTAATATTATCCATAGCCCTAATATACAAACAAAACCTTTGGGACATCACCATTAAAAAATTGAACGAGGGTTCCGCTAACCCGATTGGTCTGTGGGGCAAATGGCCTGTGATATTGCTTTATTATTTAAATAACATTTCAAGAAATTCAATCTAAACAATGTTCCTCTTAGCTTGGCTAATCCGACTTGTTCATGGTAGAAGGGGTGACTGAAGTGGAATTGGCTAACCCCCCAGGTCTGGAGTCACATGCCTAATAACTTAAAAACCATAGTAATAAGTTTAAATCTAAAAACCAGCTATGACCTAGAACTATGATCTACCGACATTATAATTAATATGATTCCTTCGTTTCCTATTATCAACCATTCGAATAAGTTTAAATAAATTCCAACTTAGTCAGGGAAAGTTGACCTTAGATTGATTTGTTTATTCTTTTTATGTAACTTTTGGTCATATAGCTCCTCAAATATTCAAGTACTTGTACATCTTTTGGCTTTCATTTTTTGGGTTCGAGCGTTCCGTTGAGTGTAAATTTAGTAAAAAGTGTTATTCTCATTTTATAGCAGAGGATCAATACCGTTGCTTATGGACTTCTTGTCACCGTGGTTATCATTAGCTCAAAAGTAAGTGCTTCTGGATTGACATGAGTTCTAACAGATTATTTTTTTTAAATAGAAATTATCATGAAACTAAGGTTCCAACTCCCTCAGGCAAAGTTTTCCTTAAATGAATTTCTATAGTACCTCTGGTTGTTTAGATTCTTATGTATTAATATATTTATACATCCTTGTTAGATGCATCAAACTTTTAAACTGTATTTTTTTTAAACAGATGTGGCATTGACCTTAGACTTATTGATCAGACATTCAATAGGGTTCTGTCATTTCACTATATCTTCCATTAATATAAACGTTTAAAACATTTAAAACAGACAAACGACACACAAATAATTATCCAACAAAAATAATTTTCTTGATATATTAGTTACAGCAACCTTTAAATGTGATCCCAAAATTAAAAGGCTTCTTATATCCCTTCTTATATCATCCATCTATATATGCGTTTTGTTCCAATTAAGGAAGGTAAACTCAAGTTATCATCCAGAAATTAATTTTTGTTTACTGACGAACGAACGGACTGACAATGTGACGACACTATGATCCATTTTTCATTTTGCAATTTTTGGAAAACAAAACTCATATATACTATCTACAACTATCATGTGTATAACTTTATTTTCAAAATTATTGCATAAGTATCACTTATTCGCTGTACTATTTTATGAATAGTACTGACGTTCCAATTAACATCGAAATAACGTTTGGTCCCGTCATACTTTGAACGACAAAATTATTTTATGTCTACCTGTGCGAATTTCAAACGCACGATTTTACGCCAGTACTTAATACCTTCCATTCTTTGTGGGGGGATTTTACATAGATAAATAAAATCGTATAATAAAAAAGCAAAATGAGGATGTTAAATTTGATGTATGCCTTTTTGTGCTTCTTCGTTACATTTGTTTGTTTTATAGTGATTAAGATGATAACACAATGTTGACTGCTGTACCCCTATTTTTGACATTTTTACCTATTGTGTCTGTTTGTTTTGTTCACGCATGTCGTTGTCGATATAATGGAATTTGATGCGACTGTCATACAAGTGAGAGGTTTAGCTAGCTATAAAACCAGGTTCAATCCACCATTTTCTACATAAGAAAATGCCTGTACCTAGTCAGGATTATGACAGTTGTTATCCATTCGTTTGATGTGTTTTAGCTTTTGATTTTGCCATTTGATTAGGGACTTTCCTTTTTGAATTTTCCTCGGAGTTCAGTATTTTTGTGATTTTACTTTTTGAATGACTGGAAACATGAGTTAACTATCTTTAAGAATATTGCTCACCTCATAACTACAATATATCCTGCATATAAAATAAGCATGATGAGGGATTCATACCACGTCACAATGCCATCTGAAATAACCTAAAATATAATTAACAAATTTAATAGAACATATTGTGCTATATATTTTGCCGATAGCTTGTGTCTTTTATATGCTCTTCCGTTTTCCATTCTTGTCACAGAAACTAATTTAACCGCTTCGTAAATATTTTTTCATTTTTTACTGCTCTCTGTCAACGTAACGAATAGAAAAAGCCTGAAGCACATACAAAATCAAGTACTTTTCGCTACAAAGAATTTCAAAAGCCTTGAATTAAAATTAAAAAAAACATGTTCCTATGCAGGTGATAAAAAATTGTGATTATGTAAAACATGATTTGCACCCCTCCTACTCACACAATCTTCTTGTTCACATCGAAAAATGTCGAATAACAAAGCTAACATTCATAATAGATATTCTTTATTTTACCAAAGTTTAATTTAAAAAACAATACATAATATCTGTTCGTTTAAACTTGATAGTATTCATTCATCAGAAGACAATATAAAAGCTATTTTGGTTAACCAACTGTCCATATTTGAATCTGTGTGGGATGTAGGATACAAACCTTTTGATTCTGTGTGGGATGTAGGAAACAAACCATTTGATTCTGTGTGGGATGTAGGATACAAACCATTATTTTTACAGATTTAGAAGCCGATAAAATACACCCGAGTCAAGTTGAATTGTAATGTTACAACGGTAGTCTGTTTTACTATACAATTTGTTTTGGAATTCATGTTATCCTTTTTATGCATTAAAAAATATTATATTCCCAACTTGGTACACGATTAAAGCTTTACCTTAGATACATTAAACAAATATAAAAAATTGTAGGTCTATTTGTTCTGTCTTAAAACTGTATATTGTTAAGTGTTTTAGTAGTTCCATGCTAGGAGCCTGTGATGTCATTATTGTTTCTCGTTTATTTTTATACGTCAGGACGTTTGTTTTCGGTTTTGAATTGCTTCTCATTTTGACATCACGAGGCCTGTAAAAGGCATTGGTGCTGCTCAAATCCGTGCCCTTAGTTATCTCATTGGCAGCCCTGCAACTTTATCTATATATAAGCAGCATCATTTAACTTCACGTTATAGATGATTTCTCTACCTGAATAATTCAAAATTAGGTAACTATGTTGAACGCATCTCCCCCATCGAACTAGAGATAAAGGATACAATAGATACAGTTAAATCTGCCTATATCTTGACTTACATCTAGAAATTGACAACTGTGGTCGGTTGAAAACAAAACTTTACAACAAAAGAGATGATTTCAGCTTCCCAATTGTGAACTTCCCATTTCTATGTAGCAACATTCAAGCAGCACCTGCATGCGGAGTATATATCTCCCAGTTTAAACGATATTCCAGGGATTGTATTTTCTATCATGATTTCCTTGATAGAGGGTTGCTACTCACAAGGATGCTATTAAACCGTTGTGAAGTTGAAATCGTTCCTTCGTAAATTTTACGGACGCCATCACGAGTTGTTTGACCGTTATGGAATATCCGTTTCACAGATGACAACGGATATGTTCCAATTGTCGTAACTACAATCCCGCCCCCTTCCCCCGAATGCTACCTACCGAATTAGACTTATCACCGGGTTTGTACAAGCATGAGCAACACGACGGGTGCCACATGTGGAGCAGGATATGCTTACCCTTCCGGAGCACCTGAGATCACCCCCAGTTTTTGGTTTTTGGTTTGTATTGCTCAGTCTTTGATTTTCTAAGTTGTGTTTTGTTTACTGTTGTTTGTCTGTTTCTATTTTTCTTTTTTAGCCATGGCGATGTCAGTTATTGTCGACTTATGAGTTTGAATGTCCCTTTGGTGTCCTTCGCCTCTCTTTAAACCCCATTTCAAAATGTGGAAAGCTATTGTTGTACAGTGATATAAAACAACAACTTTGTCAAAATAACTGAATCAGCAAGATAAATAAATCGTAGTAACCAAGTAAAATAAATCGTAGTAACCAAGTAAAATAAATCAATCTATTCATCTTACTTTATATCACAAATAAACTCATCATAGATATAATTGATAACATTTCGTGATCTGCATGAAAGTAAAAACATTAGAATAATTCAGGACTATTACATTAAAATGCTATCATTAAATAAATCATAGTGGTCTATGAAGCAGCAACAGAAAGTGAAAAAAAAAACAAATAAAAAGGGTTTCAAAATTCCCTGAACTGTATTGCTTGTACATTTTTTATTAAAGCATATTTTCTAATGCAATTATATTACACGACTGAAAGTCGATCATTTATCTTCTTCCCAGTCTTGTTAAACAAATAATTAGATATAAAATTATTTGTAGATTGACATACTAACCTTAAATTGACTTACCAATATAAGAACAATGACAGACAATGAATAATAGAAAGAATCTCTACACATCATCCACCACGACAAAGTAACTACCTATTGTAGAAATAATAACATATATTGATACAACAAGCCAAGATTAATATCTACAGCAAAAATAATAGCGTCAATTCAAACATTGTCAACTGAGTCTACAGTAACTATCGGTTCCAAACTCGCAAATGCGAGCAGAAAAACATAGTCATTGAAATATTCCAAATTCATTCTGCCTATGGTATTTTTGTTCTAACATAAACATAACTTCTATATTAACATGTGTCTTCATAATTTAAATAGTTTGAGCTCCAGGTTTTATGTGAGTAAAACCTGCTTTGACACACTACTTTTAGTTGCAAATGCTTATACTGTGACAATTGGTAGTCGTTCAACTTATATAAGATATTCCAGATCTTGAGTTTCCTATGATGATTTCATCGAAAGAGGGTTACTGCTCACATGAAAGCTATTTAACCAAGGTTTCCAAGTAGAAAAAAAGTCAAGTTTTACGAACGCCATTACGAGTTTGTTGACCGTTATGGAATATCTGAGTCACAGATGACCACGAATATGTTCAAGTTGTCGTAACCACAATCCCGTCCCCTTTTTTTTGATTGTGATGTCACAGAAAGAGACTTATCGTCGGATTTGTACTTGCATGAGCAACACGACGGATGCCATATATGGAGTAGAAACTGCTACCCTTCTTGATCACCTGATATCACCCCTGTTTTTGGTGGGGTTCGTGTTGACTAGTCTTTAGTTTCCTATAGAGTGTTTTGTTCAGTTGTTTGTCTTTTCGTCGTGAACTTTTTTCGCCATGGTGTTGTCAGTGTTCTCCCTCATCAGTGTTTACAGTGTGTTTCCCCTCGGTATCTTCCGCCTCTTTATAATCCATGAAAATGGCCAGTTTACAGTCAAAACGGTCCTAACAATTATCTTCGTATAAACAAACACGGATTCAACTGAGGTATTTATATAACTGCCCTTTACATAACAGACACCGCCCACTGCGTACAGAGTGGGTCAAATTTTCTCCAATAATTTACAAAAATCCGTCTTAATACAAGCATGATTTTTGAATAATCTAAGACACCTTTACTGGTTGGTGTTTGTTTTCATCGGCATATTATCTTTACTTTTCACACCACCGAATCATTGCTAGTGGACATATGCATGTTTAGAAATGAAATAAATATAATATGTGTCTGACTGAGGTAAGCAGTAGTATGTTACAAATGTGTTCGTATTGCATCAAATGCCAGCTGATGCTAAATGATCTTTGACATCATTGTTTAATTGTTCCGAAAAATAACGGTTTGACATGAATAACCCTCCAAACAGATCCAGTGGTGAAGTTGAAATCATCCCTTTGTAAGTTTCACGGACGCCATCACGAGTTGGTTGACCATTATGAAATATCCTTTCACAGATGATAGCAGATATGTTCCTAATCTCGTAACTTTAATCCCGTCCACTTTTCCCGAATGTGACCTACCAAATTAGACTTATTAACGGGTCTGTGCTATCATGAACAACATGACGGGCGCCACATGTGGAGCAGGATCTGCTTACCCTCCCGGAGCACCTGAGATCACTCCCAGTTTTTGGTTGGGTTCGTGTTGCTCAGTCTTTGGTTTTCTATTTTGTGTTTTGTGTACTATTGTTTGTCTGTTAGTCTTTTTTCTTTTTTAGCCATGGCGTTGTCAGTTTATTTTCGACTTATGGGTTTGAATGTCCCTCTGGTATCTTTCGGCTCTCTTTTATAATATAAGGATCTAGAGTTAACTGTTACCATTGATGCCTATAGTATAATATTTCTTGTTAAGTTTGTGTCAGAGTAATATGAGCATCAAGAAACCAATTCACAACTAAAGGTTCAATAAGAGTCAAATGGTTATGATCCAAACAGTAACCATTTTCTCTATAATGTCTACAACAAACTAAACACTCAGTTGTCTTGAAAGTCGTGAATGTAAACAACATTTTACACTGTCCAATTGATTACTTCACACCAATGTATAAAGAAAAACTTATTTGTTGTTAAGGTAGTTAATAAGCTATGTTTTATCCAGTCCAAAGTGAAGTGAAATCAATAATCTTTGAATAATTTAAAAATAGCTATACGCCCAGTAGGTTACGCACACCTAGGGGTCATAGTCATTTCAAATATCCATTCCTTTTGTTTATATTGTCGCAATAACAAGTCTGTTGTCTTCATTTAAAAACCCGTGGCAAATCAAGACATTTGTTCTACATTTCTTGAGAGCAAATAAACTCATCATAAATACCAGGATCAAATTTTGTGTTTACGCCAGACGCGCGTTTCGTCTACAAAAGACTCATCAGTGACGCTCAAATCCAAAAAAAAGTTAAAAAGGCCAAACAAAGTACGAAGTTGAAGAGCATTGAGGACCAAAATTTCTAAAAGTTTTGCCAAATACACCTAAGGTAATCTATTCCTGAGGTAGAAAAACCTTAGTATTTCAAAAATTCAGAAGTTTTGTAAACAGTTAATTAAACTCGTTTTACTATTGGAAAGGGCATTGTGTGAATCTGTTATATATTATACTAGTAGACTTGTGCACATTATCATGTATATTGCTTAACATTAGCTATCTAAATTCGTGACATGGTGACGACTACTCTCGAGAGTGACGTTAATTGAAGTTATTTTCATTGTTAACTTTGTCAATGTGAAAACCCATCCCAATTACCAGGCTATAATTTGGTACTACAGACGCGCGTTTAATATACAGCAGACTCATCAGTGTTGATCTAAGCAAAACAGTTGTCGAGTTGAAGAACCTAAAAAATTGACACAAATGTGCGTAAAACTTCCTTTAAGAGTCGATACAGAACAAAATCTATAGTATTTCAAAGCTTTTTGTCTCATATATGTATGCACTTAATATTTTGCATCTGAGATCTCTAATAGCAAAGTTTCTACAAAACTTGAACCTAAAGGAGCTTAAAGCAAAATTTCATAAATACTGTCGTTCAACCAACACATACTAATATAGTCCTGTCTGATGTGTTCTCACTGGTAACTTTTCTTATGATCGCTGATAAAGATTCATAAATTTAGCCGAAATATCGGTAATTCCGGAAAATCGACTGGGAAATTAATTTTATAATGTTGATGGACTCTAATGCGTACTTCCCCTTAAATAGGCGATGCGCGAGCGAGTCAAATGAACCATAGAAATTGAATGAAGGAATAATTGTTTTTGTACACTGTATGATATATATATGTATGCAGTTTTCTCAGTTGATAATGCATCTATATATAGGGGCAGTTTTAGATTCAATTATTCCTTCATTCAATTTCTATGAAAGTTCATTTAATCAAACACTACCCCATAATCAACAAAGTTTTATGAGCACAATTGCTTCAAATATTTTTACTGACTCGGCGGTTATTGGTGTTTTTGTACACTGTATGATATATACATGTATGCAGTTTTCTCAGTTGATAATGCATCTATATATAGGGGCAGTTTTAGACACAATTATTCCTTCATTCAATTTCTATTTGGATCCATAACACATCAAACACATCAAAAAATTCCAAATATACTCTTACGCTTTCAAGATTTACTATTGTCAACGATGGCCTTAACAATATAAGTGTTTTCTACCACCATTGGTGATGTCATTCTTGAGTAGTAACAAATGATAGGAGAAACAAAGGGGGCAATCAAAATCATGATTTCCAACAGACAACACCAGATTCAAAAATAATAACGACCAAAATACTAACAACTATGACAAAACATTACAAAAAAAACACAGATTGAGCTACGCGAACCCCATAAAAAAAACCTGGTGTGACTTCATGTGCTCCGGAATGGTAAGTTGTTTTTGCACAATATGTGACACTGTTAAAATCTGGTGATACGTCGCATTCAGTAATGTTACAACCGAGTGAAAGAGGACGGAATTGTGGTTGCGACAAATGGAATATATCGTGATTATCTGCGACATACATTCCACAACGGTCAAACAAATCATGATGGCGTTCGTAAAACTTTCGAAAGGTTTGCTTCAATTTTGTAATTTTGTCACTTGAAACCCTTGATGCAATAGTTTCTTTCAAGGAATCAGTGTAGGACATACAACCCTGGAATATTGCATCAACTGGAAGATATATACCCCATATGCAGGCGCTGCTGTGATGTGGAGAAAAAGTATAACAAAAAGACCGAACTCCAAGGAAATTTTAATAAACAGCTGCGCCACGAGCGCATGATACGCCCGTCGTCTTGTGTGTGAGGTTTTATGCAATAATCATAAATCGTTTCTGAGATACAGAGCGACATGTGAAAAACCCCCTTTTTTATTAAAATATTAATAACTCTAAAATAAAATTTTGAATCATCACCAAAAAATATACAGATCTTTAGATTAATATAATGAAGAAGTGTGTAAAGTTTTAATCAATAATCATAAATCGTTTTTGAGATACGGCACGACATGTGAACCCCGCCCCCTTTTTTTACAAAAAACTCAATAACTCTAAAATAAAATTTTGAATCATCACCATAAAGTATACAGATCTTTAGATTAATATAACTAAGAAGTGTGTAAAGTTTTAAGCAATAATCATAAATCGTTTTTGAGATACGGCGAGACATGTGAAAAAAAACACCCCCTGTTTTAGTTACAAAGTCCCGTAACTCAAAAAGTTTTAATCTTATTTTCACCAAAAAGTATACAGATCGTTTGACCATCATAAGAAACAATTATATTAAGTTTCATGAAATTTGGATAAGTCGTTCTCAAGCTACAGTGCGACATGTGGACGCCGGACAGACGGACAGACAGACGGACAGACAGACAGACAGACAGACAGACGGACGCCGGACATTTGTATACCATAATACGTCCCGTCAAAATTTTGACGGGCGTATAAAAAAGGGGAAGTCCATAAAACTGACAAAATCAAACGCTATCAATCAACAATATTCACAATGGGAAAATTGAAATCATAACTAGAAACCTAGCATTTACCCCAAGTCCTTGACATTTCATTGAAAACAATATGTCAGAGTAATAAC